TAATGTGATCCAGTTGTCAATTCTTACACAATTTGTTTTTTGCTTGTTGATCTTTTTCGAGAGTCATATCATGTAATATCATGATCACTTTTCTAGGTCATATTATGTAAAAAATTTTGATTAAAAGTTTGCATACATTAATATTGAACCATAACCATAGAAATAAAAAATTGCAGTAAGACAGACTCATTGTATACTGTCGATGTCCGCTCCCGGCCGGCAGGAAGGACACACGACAAAGTCTGGTAGTGGACAACCTTTTCTTTTTATTTTCCTTCTCCGTACAGCCTGCCCTGGGTTCTCCCAGCTGAAGCCTCCTCTGGTCCGCTCCCCGCGGCTCCTTTTGTGCTTCAGTCTGCCCCAAAGCCTCTACCGGTCCGCTCTCCGCGGCTCCTTTTGGGCTTCTACTTCAGGGCTTCTATCTGGCTTCCTCTTCCGCCCAGGGGTGGCACCGGTATATATACGGGTACAGTGTCCAATCATGTTAAAGTAAGCAAGGCAAGCTGATTGGCTAACATCATCAGTTGCCAGGCAGACTATATTGTTGAGCGGGTTGTTTACGCGGTAAGCAGGAAACTAACATATTCGATGGGAGGGGTAATCTACCTCAGGCCTCACTCTTTACTACAGGCCTCACGTCCGCCAAGTGAGGCGACCGGGCTCGGGGCTGCGGCTCCCAACATCTCCCCCTTTTTTATTTTTTATGAATGTGCGCATCGTAGCCCTTCCTGGACTGGGTGCAGAGGCTTATGCCCTATGTGTAGGCCCACCGTAGGTCCTTGGCTTAGACCCTGGTCGGCCGTCCCATGGTCTGCCAAGGCCCTGAGGCCCTCGTCCTTTTTCTAGGGCCAGGCACAAACTGGACGGAACCTGGATGCACACAAGCTTGCACTCATTTCCTCTCCGTAAAGAAATCCCCTCGGAGAGAAATTTAGACCTGGGCAGCATCTAACAGTCCAGCGGCTTACGTGCAGGATGGGGTAGGGCCTGGCTTAGGTCGAGTCATGCTGGGGAGGCACGCTCTTACCCGTCATTGACTCATCTACCCTGCTATATCATAATTTTTTAGAGGAGGAGTGTGGGAAGCTCACCGTCCCTAGACTCGGTCGTAGGCTAGGCGAGCGAGCCATGCATATGCCTGAGGATCTTCTTGTCCATTTCGGGCTACCGCTATTTCTATTCATCTTGTTGGTTGGTCTGTGATGGATCTCCAGTAGGGCAGGTCTGATCTTTAGTCGAGGGCTTTGTTGTCCGTGTCAGTCTCTCCGGTATCCACAGTGGTTCTCGTCCCGATTCCTGTGGGAAAACACAAACCGCGCCTCGGTTCCAGCTGATTACCGGATCCGGGCCCATCCATTGTCCTGTCAGGACATCTTTCCACTTCACCCACCCTTTATGGTTGGGGGAAGGGTTGCAGTGCTCCACAGCTGGGGAGCGATTATCATTATTTAAATTTAAAAAATTGTGTGTGAATAGTGCCATGGATAATCGTGCCTTTGGGGCCAGGCCTTGGCCTACTCCCCCTTTTTGTTTTTGTAAAATTTCTTTGAGGCTTCTATGAGCCCTCTCAATGATTCCTTGACCTTGGGGATTGTATGGGATACCATGTTTTAATTGAACCTCCATCATTTTGCAGAACTCATTGAAGGCTTTGCCTATATAGGCTGGTCCATTATCAGTTTTTAATATTTTTGGTTTGCCCCATGCGGCCCAAGCCGCCAGGCAATGATTGATCACATTAGACACTTTTTCACCTGTTTCTGCTGTTGCAAATATGACGTGAGAACAGGTGTCTGTGGAAACATGAACATATTTAAGAGTCCCAAACTCCTGTATATGTGTGATGTCCATCTGCCAAACATCACCAGGGATCAAACCTCGAGGGTTTACTCCCATCGGTATGGCAGGTTTGTATGTGGCACAGGAGTCATATAGTCGCACGATATCTCGTGCATCTGCTCTAGAAACATGGAAATGGTTTGCTAGTGTCCTGGCATTAACATGAAATTTATCATGGAAGGCACGGGCTCGCTCGATTGGTGTTAGTAAGGTAAAAATCCATAACGGGCGAGTGGCAGTATCAGCAGCCGCATTCCCCTGTGCCATGGGCCCTGGCAGGGATGTATGTGCTCTTATGTGGGTGGTGAAGACCTTATGGTGTCTGTTCTGAAGCAATGTCTGGATAGACAGGAACAGCCCAGCCACTGTGGAAGTGGATCTAATTAAACCGGCAGTCTCAAGCACTTGCATAGCATTGACCACATACCTAGAATCGGAGACAATGTTAATGGCCTCTGAGAACCGTTCAAGAATCATTTTAACGATCTGTAGTTCCACCACCTGAGGCTGATCTGGTTTAAATTGTATGGTAACCGGGGGCTTGCCTAGGATCACATAGGCGCCTATCCCCGTCTTAGAGCCATCTGTGTATATTGTAGTTGCTGGGACTAATGGCTCAGAGGCAGTAACCTTTGGAAAAATTATAGGGTGCTGAGTGACAAATGACAAGATGAACACCCATATAAGTCTGGAGGCGACACTGAGGTCCACACCTGCTGACCCAGGGGTGGCCCTTGTTGAAGGCTGCCACCCTGAGCTGTCCTGTCTCTGGGGCGGGGGCCCGTCTGTGAAGGGGGCCCCCTCTGGCCGTTTTTTGGCTCTCTAGCATCTTGTCCACAAATACGGTTGCCCTGAGCATCAAAGACCGACCTACACTCCTCAGCTTTGTGTGATCCCCTCTTGCATCGCCCACAAACATATGGTTCTTCATTCCTAGGGCGAGGCCTAGCATCTGTATTGTTTGGGCAGTGACGTTTAATGTGTCCTGGCTCCCCGCAGGCAAAACACCCTTTAGCCTTACATTCCCCTCCTGACCCGCGAGGTCCCCTCTGCTGTACAGCCGCGGCCAGGAGAGCAGCCACTCCCGAGTTGGAGAGCGGCCCCCCTATCTCTCTGCATATCCTAATCCAGGCGTTGAGGTCCTTGTTCTTATGAGGAGCTATCGCTGCCTTGCACTCCTTTGTACATTGCTCGAAAATCAGCTGCCTTACCAGCGGTCGAGCCACTCCCGGATCAGAGAATATCTTATCGGCAGCATCTTGCATTCGGGCCACAAAGTCAACAAATGGCTCTGTGGTACCCTGAATTATTTTTGAAAGACACAAGGAGGCTGTTCCGGCACCACTTACTTGCTTCCAGGCGCGGAGCCCTATGGCATTGATTTGTTCATAGACAGCGCCGGGGAACTGAGTCTGATCATCAGCGTGCCGACCTTCTCCCATAAGCATTTCCTTGTTCCACCCCCGGTTTCCTCGATTGGCGTTTTTCTCAGCCTGCTCGGCAGAGAACTCTGCATACCAGGCTCGCCAATCCAGGTAACTGCCCGAGGGCAGACAGGCCTTTGCCAGCTGAATCCAGTCCGCGGGGGTGAGGGGCCCAGAAGACAGATTCTCCAGCATGGCAATGGTGTAAGGCGCAGTCGGCCCAAAGGTTGTAACTGCATTTTTAAGTTCTCTAATCTGCTTTATCTCAAAAGGCTCCCATACATTGCGTCCCTGGCCCATAGCTACTTGTACAGGAAATATCTCGTAGGGGCCACTATCTATCCCAGGTGGATGTACCTCATGAGACAAGCGTCCCCCCTGCCAAAGCCGCCTGTAAAAATACCGACCCGCCGGCGGCGGAGCATAAGACGGCGGCCGTGATTGGGCGGAAAATGGGGGCCCGTGCATCACTTCCTGTTCTGGCGAAAGGGGAGGGAGCTCCCAGGCGGCCGCCTCGTGGCGAGGGATCGCCTCCCTCTCGCGCCGGGGCGCACTCAGGAGCTCTCTACTCCTCCGCAGACCAGGTTGAGCAGAGCGCAATTCGCGGCGCAACGCTGGAAAAGAACCCTGTGACTCCTTATCGAGCGACTTGGGCTCCTGACAGCTGGTCTCTTTGGCCTCCTTGCCATTCAACTTTCCCTCGTCCTCGGAGTCAGACGACTCCGAGGCTAGAGCCCCGTCCTTCTCCTTAGCATCTTTGTTCCCCTTGACGGGCCCCTCTCGGGAGCTCCCTGACTGGGCCTGCTCAAATACCCTGCGTACTTTTGTAAGCTCTTGAGAGCTTTCTCCACAACCACCCTCGCTCTTAGTGTTGCTACCTAGCATGTTTCCCATCTTTTAATATGTTACTCACCGCGTGAGGCCCAAGGAATCCGCCACTTACGCGTGAGCCTGAGGGGAGTCTAAAAGCCCTGTAGGTGCGCGCCACCCAGAGCCCAGGCTTATCCCCAACTCACCTGTCTCGCAGCTCTGTACTGGAGCGTTGTCCACTTCCACGTCGCGGGGGTGATCAGTCCCCGGGCGGGCCTCCAAATGTCGATGTCCGCTCCCGGCCGGCAGGAAGGACACACGACAAAGTCTGGTAGTGGACAACCTTTTCTTTTTATTTTCCTTCTCCGTACAGCCTGCCCTGGGTTCTCCCAGCTGAAGCCTCCTCTGGTCCGCTCCCCGCGGCTCCTTTTGTGCTTCAGTCTGCCCCAAAGCCTCTACCGGTCCGCTCTCCGCGGCTCCTTTTGGGCTTCTACTTCAGGGCTTCTATCTGGCTTCCTCTTCCGCCCAGGGGTGGCACCGGTATATATACGGGTACAGTGTCCAATCATGTTAAAGTAAGCAAGGCAAGCTGATTGGCTAACATCATCAGTTGCCAGGCAGACTATATTGTTGAGCGGGTTGTTTACGCGGTAAGCAGGAAACTAACATATTCGATGGGAGGGGTAATCTACCTCAGGCCTCACTCTTTACTACAGGCCTCACGTCCGCCAAGTGAGGCGACCGGGCTCGGGGCTGCGGCTCCCAACAGTATACTATGCGGAAATAGGTTGATTCTATTTTCTGTTGCAAGTTATTTGTGATTATATCTGTATGATACTTAGGATAAAGTGTGTCTAAATTTTTTAAATGAAAATATTTGAGTGTTTCAAGTTTATTTTTATGTTTTTTTTTTTTTTAATTTTTTAGGTGCTGTGGCCCTCAGGAATCTTGAAATTAAAGAAAATGCTTTGGTAGGTTTTAACTATGAGAATTTGTAATGTTAGTACATTTGACTAAGGATAGTTCCTCCTGATTCAGTTTTCCACCTTAAATTATTTGTTTGAGAAAATGTTTTAGAAGTTATTTTTACAAAATGTGTACTTCGAAAATTGAGCTTTAATTTCCTAGAAGCATGGTCTTATAGTTTATTTTTTCCCATTTAAAAATATTTATAGCAGTTTTATTCCCATATGGATTTATTTTTAGTGATTAGCTTATCCTCTAGTTGTTTTCAAGTTTTATTTCTGAACACTATTTTGATATGTTCAATTCAGTTTCATGAATTTATCTATAATTTTGTGTAATCCTCAATGTATTTTTATAACTTTTTCACATTTCCTCTTAGCTCTGTAGTCTGTTTCCATTTCTTCATAGACTCTGGACATTTTGCTTTATGGCAAACTGGAATTTTCAATCCTGTCTTCCTACCCACACAAATTTGCATGTATCAGCTTTCCATATATCAGTAGCGTATATCAGATCTTTCTTTTTAATGATCAAATTATCCTGCACTGTGTACATATAGTGTATTTTATTTCTTCATTTAGTTTTTCACATATACTTTAGCTGTTTCTGCCTTTTTGGTGTCAGGACTACCACAATGAGTATTGGTGTTCATGTGTGTATGTCCCGGACCTTATTTTCGTTTCCTTTGGTTATAAACCTACAAGTAGAATTGCTGAATCATTGGTAATTCTATTATTTAGCTTTTTCAGGAACCACAAGTTCTTCCATACTATTAATTCCCTTTTACATTCCTTTTAGTAGTGCACAAGAGTTCTAATTTCTCTATATTCTCTGAATCTTCCAACATTTGTTATCTTCTGCTTTTATTTGGTAACTACTATTCTCATGGGTACAAAATGATACCTGGTTTTGATTATTAGTGCCCTAACATTTGCCCAATGACTGGTAATGTTGAGAAAATTTTGGTATGCTTATTGCCAGTTATATATGTTCTTTGGAGAAATGTTTTTAAAGTCTATTTCCATTTTAAAATTAGGTTTTGTTGTTGTGTAGTTGAAGTTTTGAAGTTTATTTTGTATTCAACATGTTGATCCCTTACTATAATTGTGATTTGCAAAATTTTTTCCCTATTTCAAAAGTTTCCTTAACTCTGTTTATAGTGTCCTTTGATGCACAAAAGTCTCTAGTTTGATAAAGGTGAATTCATCTACTTTTTGAAATTGCCTATGCTTTTGTTATTTCCAAGAATAATTACCAAATCGGATGTCATGAAGATTTCTCGTTATGTTTTGCTCTAAGTGTTTTATGTTTTAGCTCTTTTTTTAGTTTTGTGACATTTTGAGTTTTTTGTGTTTGTGGTACTGAGGATTAAATCCTTTTGATAATTTTGAGTTCAGATCTAGCTAAGTCACTAACTTACTGCGGCTGAGTGCGAACTTGTGATTCTTCTGCCTCAGCCTTTTGCGTATGAGGGTTATAGGCACTGGCCACTGTGCCAAGATTTAAGTTTTACAAATGGTATAAGACACAGATTCAGCCTTGTATCTTTGTAACTGGTGTCATCCTGGCACTTCTTATTGTAAATGCTGTCCTTTTCCACTTTGAATGGAGAAAAATCGTTTGAGAAAATTTTTACAAAATAAAAGTTGTAAGTCCTTTTGAAGCACAAATTGACAGTAACTCTCCTTTTTAAAAAAAATATAAATGTGATAATCTCATATGTATAGGTTTTTTTGATCAGTATTAATGTAGACCTTTCATTTTAAGACAAGTTCTGAATTTTAGTGACTTGAGAATATTGCATTTAAATTCTTAGCAATTTGAATAAATATTGAAGAATGTATAAGGTAATTAAAAAACTCTTCAAATAATTTTGGGAAGAAAAAAGTAGTCATGTATTGCTCAGTTTTTTATATATTAATAATTTACTTGTTTATTTACTTTTTTGTAGAGTCAGCTGGATGTACCATTTAAAGTTAAAGTTGGTCATATAGGTAAGCCATACATCTGGAATGTTCTTACTGGATGTGCAACCAGAATAATCTCTGTAATGTAAACTTTCTGTGGTTCTGAGCCTTAGTTTAAAATCCAGTAATCATGTATTCTTAGATGAAGCTTAGTTGTGTGGCTTAAAAAGTATTGTGACGTTCATATTTTCCTTGCCCTTTGGCACTCAATACCTGTGTGATTAAGCAATGACACATCTTATTAAGTGTTAAGAGTTGAGTTGAGAGCCAAAGTGTTGTATCTAGCAAAGGCTTACCTGTCTCAATTTTTTAGGTTTCTGGTTAGTTACCATTTCAATATTTTTTCTGGTGCCAGACATGTGGTGTAAAGAGCATGGTCTGAATTATCTGGACATGGTAGCCAGGAGCCAGTGTGAAAACTTGGGTGTGCTCTGGAAGTTTTTCTGGTTTTCTAGTAGTTATTGTGCTGTTTCTTGGTTTGTGTTACTTTGTCTGTGTTTGTAGTTTAGCCTTTTAAGTATTGATTGGGCGGAAACTGATTGAATTCATTTTGGTTTTAGTTTAGCACCTAATGAGAGATACGGGTCTAGATTCAATCTTTTGCCTGAGGCTTTGGCATATTTAAAACCCGTCAGGATTCTTAGCTTTTTGTAATTTTAGTAGTTTAAGTATCATGCAAGATGGTATTTTGTTAGGATTATGAAAATTTTGTTAGTGTTTTCTAGTCAGATTTGTATGTTACTGAAGCTAGCTATATCATGGTGTCATTGGGAGATAGGTATTCTGAAAGCTTGCCTAAACGTGCAGTGAAGATTTCATAATTTTGTATACTATACTAATAGTTGATATTAAACCATATGCCACAAAAAGTTTTCATCCATATATATACCTGCCATATTTTCTTTGTCCATTCATCTGTGAATGGGCATATAAGTTGCTTCCAAGATTAAGCTATTAACAGTTACACTGCTGTAAAAATGGGTATGTATGTATCACTATAATATGATGTCTCTAATCCTTTCAGGAAGAAACCTAGAAGGAGAATAGGGTCTGTATAAATTTTAGGATTGTTTTCTCTACTTCTGTGAGGAATGTTATGGCATTTTCATTGTGATTACATTACACTTCTATAGAAGTTTTGGAAGTACAGGCATTTTGATAGTATTGGCTCTCCTTATTCAGGAACAAGGGATATCTTTGCATTTTGTAATATCATCTTTGATGTCTCTTTTCAGAATTTTCATTGTAGAGGTCTTAGATACTTAATTTTTTTGATGTATTGTGAATAATACTGTTTCTTAGTTTCTTTTTCAGTTGGGCTTATTATTGGTATACAGGAATGGTATTGATATTTGTTTGATTTTTAATTAATCATGAGTATTTTGGTTGAAATTTTTGTTTCTTAATCCATTTTGCCTAAGTATGTCTTTTGATTGTGGAATTTAGACCGTTCACATAGAATGTTACTGCTATAAGGTATTAACTTACTCAAATCATTGCATTAATTTTTCCTTCACTGATTTTCTTTCCTCTGCTCCCATCTGCTCACCCAGCTTAGTGTATTTATTCTATTAGACTTTGTGGCATTATTGATTTCATTTTCTCCATGATAGCCTTCAGAATTTTTGGTGGTGCTGCTTTGGTGGTCATGAATTTCCTAAGGTGTTCTTTATCATTGAAAGACCTTATTCCTCCATCTGTTTTGAAAGATAATTTTGCAAGTTGTATGTCTGGTTTAAAAGTTGTTTTTAGGGCTTGAAACACTTGTGGCTTTTAAGGCTTGTTTTGAGACATCTGCTGTTACTCTAATGTGTTTAACCCTTATGGGTGATTCTTTGCTTTTCTCTCACAGCTTTTAATATTTTGCCTATGTTGGATCAGTTTTTTGTGTGTAATGTGTTATGAAGAAGCTACTTTTTGATTGTGGTTATTTGGAATTCTGTATACCTTAGTTTATGTTTAATTCTATTAATTTGGAACATTAATATGCTATTATTTCTGTACACTTTTTAATGCCATTGTGCTATGTTAGTTTTCATGAATTCCAGTTCATCTTATTCTTTGCAGTTGCTGTATCTGGTCTTCATATTCTCTCCTTGTATTAAAGTACCTCTGAATAATTGTTTTCAGAGACCGTCCTTTGATTCTTTCACTCTGTCCTAATGTTGGTCACTTCTGATGCCTCTAATTTCAGTAGAATTTTTAATATCCTGGATTTCTGTCTGAAATTTTTCTATAGACTCACAATTCTTTGCTAACTTGGTCACTTACGTATGATTTTGTTTAGCTTATCTACCTTTTTTAGTGTCTTCTATAACTTTGATGATGATTACGTTTAAGTCCATCACTGTTTAGTTATATTGTCTTCATGCTCACTGACTGAGCACCTTATTGATATGTTTTTAAATTTCTGTTCTTTGGACTAATTTGTGCTTGCAGTTTTTGATTCACATCTCCTTGTTCCCTGTGAATGAGATTTGGGAAAGTTGAGAGTTTTTGTCTTGTCCTCTGTTTCTATTGTTTTTGTGGTTTGCTTTGTGCTGAAGATTATGGGCCTTTTTATATTGGAAAGACTTTGTTGCTAGTGTAGAGATCTTTTTAGTTAAGTGTCCGCTTTTCGTTGATGTACTCTTGGCGTAGATACTTATAGACCTTTGTCAAGATTAACCACCTCCATTAATTTGGGAGGGGAAGATACAGTGTAATTGGCCCAGTAACCAGGTTACACTAGTATTGTTAATGACACAAAGGTAATCTTGATATTAATCTATTAACATACAGAGTAATATATAGATTAATACATTGATATTTATATTAATATGCAAATTAAGACTATTAATACCAACAATTGTACCACCCTGCTAAATCAAGTTATATAAACTTTTAAAAACTGGCCAAAAGTCAGTGAATTTTTACACTGTTACTGTATTTTATTGTAGGTACAATTAACTTTATGATAAGTTATGTATCAGTAGAGAGCTGGGGTTTGTAGCTCAGTGGTACAGATCAGGCCCTAAATTAGACCCCAGCATCAGCGAGAGAAAAAAAAAAATAGTATGTCTGTACACACAGATGTACATATACGTATCTGAAGGGTCGATAAGATTTCCTTTAGTGCCTGCCTTTGGAGCCTTACTTTCCTTACCTTTCCTGCCTGCTTTTGTTTTCAATTGAGAGTAAGATAATTTTCAGTGGTAATACAAAGCGTGGAAAGGTACACTGGATTAAACATTTTGAGAATCATTTAAACTTTGTCAATGTTTATTATGTTTATCCATTGGACACTGAGTTTCTTGAAAAGAAATGGGTTTAACTTTTACTGTGTTTTTACCACTTAGCATATTACCTAGTAAGTATTAGGGATACAGTTTGTTGAATTAAGATGTATGCATTTCTAAATGAGTGGTACAGCAGTACAGTACAGTTCTATAGGAAAGTATTTTCTCTTTGCTTGTTGGGTATTTTAGTCTTAATGATCTTTCAAAGATCTTTTGTTTGACAGAAGATAAATTGATGGTAAACCTAGATTGAATGAATAATATCCTTGTACTTCTTTTTTTTTGTATGTAGGCACTCTCAACCTTGTAATTCCATGGAAAAACCTTTATACTCAACCAGTTGTAGCTGTATTGGAAGAAATTTATTTGCTCATAGTGCCTTCTTCTAGTAAGTAAAATTTTAAAAATAAAACTTAAATGATTTTTCTTTAAAAATTGCTTCATGGTAGAAAACTAGAGTAGTAAAGTACAAACTAAAGAATTGGCTAACAGAAAATGATCCAGAAAAGTAGTCAGCATGTCCTCATGATGATGGTTTTGATTTGTGAATGTTGGAAAAAGGTAATAAATTATTCTCCTATAGATAGAAAAGTTTATATATATCTTATACATATATTTGCTTATAATGCTTTTGAGGAATCTTTTGAGCTATTTTAATATTTTTAATATTTTTCAAACTAAATTTATTCTAAATTTTTGTAGACTGTGAATTAAAAATTATTTTCAAGGATACTTTTGGATGAGTATTTTTAGATGTAATTAAGATTCTTCCTTTTTATGCTTTATTCAGGAATAAAATATGATCCTTTAAAAGAAGAAAAACAACTCATGGAAGCAAAGCAGCAAGAATTAAAAAGGATAGAAGAAACAAAACAAAAAGTAGATCAAGGTAAAGAAAGTAAGACCAGTGAGAATAAAAGTTCTAAATATTTATCATAGAATATTTTTCTCTGAAAGCACTTGAGATTATTTAATAAATATGAGAGAATTTTATTCTAGTTTGTACAGAAATTTTACCTTGCAAAAATTCATTTTAAGGCAGATATGTCTGGCTTATAAGTATTAGGTTAGTGTTTATGATAGCAATTATTTTTATCAAGTATGTTTCCCTTCCTTTCTAGATTTTGTTCTTGTATTCTGCTTGTATCACTTCTTTACCATTTGAAGGTACTTAGCCTCTGGATATATTTATTTTTGCCTCAGTCTCCTCTGGTGTCACATCTTTTTCTGTTTAACCTATAGTTGCTTTTTCATTATGGAAGAAGTGTCCCTGAGAAATCTGATTTCTTTTCGCCTATGCTTGGGTCACCATCACTAGCTACTTTTTTTTGTATAGTACAGAAGCTACTTTTAACTAGTTTGGTCTTTATTCTGTAAGTGTACTGTAGCCTTTTCTTATTTTAAAACATAAAGTCACCTTAATGTAGTTATCTTCATTGAACAATTAAACATTTTAAAAGTATACGTATGTGGACTTATATTCTTGCCTTGCATTAATTCTTTCATTAAGTGAAAAATAAACTCAAACAGCAGTATTTTACCTGTTAACAAACATTAGTGGAGCTTTAACATAATCTCGGGCAATACCACACGTAGTTCTATTTTCTTGGGCACATTGCTTTCATCCTGGGTAGTCATTTATCCCTAACCCCTGTCTTCTCTTTGCCTTGTTTCTTAGTTTCTAATTTTAAAATTATTTTGTCAAAATAATACAGCTTTAAAAACTAAACAAGAGTCATTAAAAAAAAAAAAAAAAAAAAAAGGATTTCCCTGACTCAGCCTTTGACCCTACTCTCTCCAGAACTGTCATTGCTACATAAGACACTCACACCTCCATTGCTTGGTTTATTAAATATTTGTGGGAAGTGCTTCCTTTTTCGATGGACTCTGAAGGTTGACCAAGTAGTATCATATTTACTACTGAGCCAAATTATATCTCTTAACTACATATTATACGTTTAACTATGTAATTTCTAGCTCAACTTCCTGTTTTGCTTGTTAAAGCTAAGTGGATTTGGGTGTGACCTTATTATGTAAACTTATTTACCTCTATTTTGCCTTTTCTCTCTGTGTATTCCATATTTCAAGAGTATGGAGCCTGTTAGGTCAATTATCTATCTTTTTTTTTTTTTTTTTGAGACAAGGTCTTGCTGTGCAGTTCAGGCTTGCCTTGAACTCACAGTGATCCTCCTGCCTCAGCCTCCCAAGTGCTGGAATTACAAACCTGTGCCCCCACACCCCGCTCAATTTTCTATAGAATAGTAAGTGCTTGCTTTCTCAGTAGGTTGGAAAATGAGTAAGAGTTTGGCTGTTGACTTGAGGGCGAAGAATGCTGGAAGTTTATTAATTATACAGACTTTAAACCAGTTCTTATGTTATCTCTCCCTTTATCTTGTTCACTGATTGTCGTTTCTGTTTTGTGGACTCTCAGATTCCTAAACCTTTCCAGGGCTAGGTTTTTAAACTGATGATGTATTTGAGTGGCATCTCCATGTATGTTTGTTGAGAATTTGTCTCTTCTGGCTCAGGCCATCTGTTTTTCAGTTCTAAATTCCTTTTGCTGCTTCATGTGTTCTCTTTGCTGTCGTCTTGCTTTGACTTTAGGGATTTATGCATCTTTTTTTAACCCTTCTTTTTTGTTTCAGTGAAGTTTTGCTGAGGAATAGAGAAAGGCATGTAGTCTTCAATGTTTGATCAGAAATCCATCCTATGGATACTTTGTCTAAAATATAAATGTTTTTATTTGTCCTTTTTTTTTTTGAGACTAGAGTTTTGCTCTATAGTTCAGACTGGTTTAGAACTCACTCTGTAGCCCAAGCTGGCCATGAACTCTTGGAAATCCTGCCTTTACCTCCCAGCATGTACAAACAAGTATCTGTTTGAGTTCCAGCTTTTGATTTTCTTTAGTGAATGCTCAAAAGTAGAATTGCTGGATCATGTGGTAATTATCTGTTGAATTTTAAAGAACCACTATACTGTTCCTAGAGTGTCTGCACATTTTGCATTCCGTTAGTGACTCATAAGGTTTCCAGTTTTTCTACATCTTTTCATGTATTATTTTGAGATGAGCTTTCCTAGTTAGATAAATGATACTGTATACATTCCAGTTTTGATTTACATTTTTTTTTTAATGTACTGGGAATCAATCTCAGGGCCTCAGGCATGCAGATGCTGCATCACCGAGCTGAATTCCTGACCCTTTATTTGTCTAATGATCATTGAAGTTGAAATTTTTTTTTCATGTGATATTAATCATTTATATACCTTCTTTTGGAAATGTCTATTGACGTTCTTTGCTCATTTTTATCCAGGTTATCTTTCTTTGTCACTATTGAGCTGTACAGTTCTTTCTGTATTATGAATATTATATTCCAAATCAGAGAATATAGTTTACTAATATTTCCCACTCTATGGACTACCTTTCTACTCTTGATAATGTCATTTTGCTGCTCATTTTTTATGGTTTTTATTTCTTCGCTCCTTACATTCATGGTTTCTGTTAAATAATGGTGCTTATTTATAATGGCTATTTTAATGTCTGTGTCTACTAATTGCATCTTGTATGATATTTGTTGGTCTGTTTTTATTGACTGGTTTTCCTCTCAGTTCTACTTCACAGTTCACAGCTTCCCTACAGATCCATATTTGTTGGGTCATTTAACCTCTGTGACTGCTGTCATCACTGAGACTTTGCCTTGCTGTCCTATGTGTCATTAGTGCTGAACAGCCACGAGTGGTGGTGCACATCTGAGAGACTGAGTCATGGGAATCCTGAGTGTGACTCCGGCCTGAGCAGTTGAGCAGGCTTGGGTGTAGCTCAGTGTGAAGGCTCTCAGTTCTCAGTGTGCCCCACCTACCCACCCCAACACAATATACATGAACACAAGGTTAGAGTTTGGTTTAGCAGACCTCAAGTTCCTTTTTGATCATGTTGATCCTTTCCAGTTGTTTTTAAGTTTCCTCATGGTGGACATAGGCTTTGTTTGAAGTCTAACTTTCCAAATGGATGTAAAGGTTTGACTCTTCCGGAGTGTTCTCTGGTAGTGCCAGTGGTTCCATGAAACTTAGGTTCAAATTGGACACAATTCAAAGGTCTCCTTCCTTGTGGGCGCTTGGCCACCCTCGCAGTAACCCAGACCATATTTCTGGGCTGCTTCCTGGAGTTTTACATTAGGTATGTGTAGAGAAATATTTTGCAGAGGAATCAAAGGACATGGTGGATTCTGGAACTCTGTCTCTGGACTGTTCTCTCCGTATTCCATATTCTCTGCTTCCCATTGCAACAGTGCTTGGAGCTCACATAAGGCTTTCTTTCCTTGTTTTTGACTCTGCTTCTTTCACTCTTTAGTCCTTAGGCACAAACTAGAATCTTTGACAAAAACATAAGCCCTTCAGTAAGTGCCCACAGGAACACAGCTTAACACGCACAGTGTGTTCCCACAGCAATAAAGGACACGCTGACCTGTCTCCTGCTCTTATGAAGGGCTGAGCTCCCCCATTTAAGCTGAGTAGCAAGGTGCCTTGCTGTGCCGTGATGAAGAAGTTACAAGCTGTCAAGGTCCAGCATCTGGTGTGGAGGAAGACAGAATGACATAGTGTGGCATGGTTCTTCTGCAGGAGTCAAAGGCATCTAGCAGAGACAGCACAGATCTAAGTAAAGTGGAAGCCCACCCACCTGCTGCGGACTAGGGCCCAGCGGCAGTCAGCCTCTATAATCCACCATCCTTATGGCCACCTGTAGCCGCGATGCCAGCTGGAAGGGATCTGTTCTAGAGAAGGGGTTGCATGTGTACATACTTGCACTTAGATGCACAGAAGTGCAGTGGTGCAGACACACACTCGTCACTGTCATGTCCAGTGTAAGTCGAATAGTGGCTGGCTGTCCTTGCTGCGTAGGAAACCCTGTCCTGACTCTTCTGGGCACAGAGGCTGCATGCCACGCAGGGTCACAGTGTGAGGGTCACAGTTGAAGACCCCAGTGGGTTAAGGCTGATGGAGCCGTATTGGAGCATGGGTTATGCCCATTTGACACCCAGTAAGCACAGGGCAGTCTCACAGCAGTTAGCCTCAGCACAGTGCATACGCAGGCGGGACACCTCACTTCCCATGTGCTATCTCAGTGTCCTTGCTGTTCCCACAGGAGTGCTCCACCACTGTACTGACTGTGTGGGTGATGCTGGGACTGTCTGATCTTTTATTTCTGTTCTTCTGGAAAATGTTGAAAGTGGAGATACCATTTTCCTAAAAATGGATCAGGATGTTTTTTCATCCTTGTTTGAAATGAGACAGGAAACTGTAATTTCCTACTTTATATCATTGAGGGAAGAGCATGCTGTATTAAAATATTTTTATATCTAAGCATGGATAACTTAACAGTGATACCAGTAATTTTTAGGGGAAATTTTTGCTTTGCTGCTCTTACTGGCTTTTCTTACATATGCCTGTTGTAATTCTTAATATTCATTGTTTCTCATATTTTTGTAGACTCAGGCATAGTTAGATTAATTATAAAATCTAATGTCAATAAATTTTACATTAGGGGCATTAGTCTTTGAACAAGAAGCTAGCCAGCTTTTGAAAAATTGGCACATTCTGTTTTTGAAATTCTTTTGGTATGAAAGAATTTGGAAAACAGACTATTAGTGTTCTATTTAAAAATATATATTTTTCTTTAACAAGGGAATATATTACTTGAATATGTAGATATTATAGGGTGTGTATTTCACTGAAGTTAAAAGGAATATTTGCAATTGTAGAACAACATCAGAATGAGAAGCAAGATACTTTTGCAGAAAAATTAGTCACTCAGATCATAAAAAATCTTCAGGTGAAAATTTCCAACATTCATATCCGTTATGAAGATGATGTAAGTATCTTATTATGTGATTTTAAAAGTATGTTCGTGTGTAAATTTTTTCATAGTTTATTGGCACTGTGTAATGGCCAGCCAGTTAGATTGCTGGGAGGTAGAGGAAGAGATGATGTGATTTTTCTCTTTTTATACTTGTAGTTGTGATTTTTAGTCCTTAGAGGCAAGTGCTTAGTTATACTTTCTTTAAACTGTTCAAACTTCAGATCAGACAGGAAGATGCCTTTGGATTTATAGATTTCAGTTATGTATGTTTAAGTAAGCTATTTTTACCTCCTGGGTAGAGTATGGGTTTACAGATCAGTAGAGTTAGACCTATTTGGTGTTAAACAGTTCATTGTTCTCCTGAACACATAATTGTTTGCATGAGTGTCAGTCTCTTTTGTAACTATAAACTGAAAATATGGTAATATAATACAACACTAATACATTAATATTTAGTATTTCAGTTTGCTTTAGGAAAAATATAGGAAAAAATTTATTTAGAAAAGTGGTAGTTTTTGAATATTTGAGATAAGATATTTCTCAGAAAGTTAGGGTTTTCTATAGAATGAATTTTGTCCAAATGCTAAAAAAATCTGAATAAGGTTTACTTTTTTCCTCTTTAGATTACAAATCGAAACAAACCACTGTCCTTTGGTGTTTCCCTTCAAAATCTCAGCATGCAGGTACTTTATGAAACTTGACAACACAATTGCTTGTTTCCTTGTTTTTGACCACCAGTGAGCTCGTCAAGAGCAAAGAATTTTTTGTAGTCATTTAATAGGAATTACAGGAAATTGGTCTTCGGATATTAGTAGTAATACTATACTTCTATGTGTGTCTATAAGAAATTGGACTTCCATTTTAAATGTAATGATCGTTTTCTGCTGTTCTTTTTTTCCTTTTCAGACAACTGATCAAAACTGGGTTCCATCTTTACATGATGAAACTGAGATGAGACTATTTCGTAAGGTAAAATAAATAAATATCCTTGGACTTGATGAAAAAGACTTTTGAAAAAAGACGTTATAAACATAGACATGGATTTTTGTAAATTGTGTTTATTTGCTGAACTCTGATATTGGTCAGTTAATTACGTGACACTTCTGAAAACAGCGTATGTTAAAAATGCTTCAAAGGAAATGAGACGTAATAAACTTGATTTTATTTTCAGTTAATCCGATTGGATAATCTTTTTGCCTATTGGAATGTGAAATCTCCAATGTTTTATCTTTACGATTATGATGAATCATTGGTAAGTTTTTTTGATATATGTTGGTATTATATTTTGTGTAATTATTGTCAGTAATAATAATTCATTGTCAGCAACTAAAAATTAGAGTCAGAATTGTTTTCTCGGCAAAATCCATGACTTTTTATAGAAATGGTGAATTGTACAAATAGATGCATGTGTGCAAACACACCTTAATAGGTGGCAGAGCATTCTTTTGTAGTTTGATACTGTATTTAATCACTTGAATATATTACCACAGCAAAGTTCTGAGTTTGAGTTTATTTTTTAAAAATTGCTTTTAAACATATAGATAATAGAATTTTATAGAATAAAGATATATTGGCATGAATGTAAATAAAAGCAATTTATCTTTTAATAGGACAGCTTGAGGAATGGCATTGTCAATAAAAAAAATGTTCTAAGAGGTTATGATTTTGGTAAGTATATTCTGTAAAATAAGGAATTAGATTAAAAGTAATCAGTATAAAGTTTACATTAATATTGATGATAACATTCTGATCTTTTCTATATAGTTTACTGTGGGAGAGCTTTTGGCTGTATTTCAAAGTTATGAGGGGAAATGTCTATTACCAGGTGTGTGTGTGTGTCTGTGTCTGTGTGTGTGTGTGTATGGGTGGGTGAAGAACTCAGGGCCTCATGCAAGTGCTCTACCATTGAACTGAATCACCTTAACCCCTTGTGCTCACTTGTTTGTTGTTTGTTTTTTGACATAAGGTCTTGCTGTGCAGTTTAGGCTGGTCCCGAACTCACTATGTAGCCCAGACTGGCTTTGAACGTGCATCAGTCCTTCTTCCGCAGCCTCAGAAGGGCTGAGATTACAGGCATATGCCACCACTCCCCTTGTATATTGTGCTGACTCTTAAAATGTTTTCTCTCTTTTTTTAAAATTGTTTCATTTTCTTATAGGAAATGAACAGATGAGTTAATTACTGTTCATGTTAATGATTCTCAAATTTATCACTTTAGGTTTGAACTATCTGTCTTTTGCTCTAATCATTTTATACTATATTAGGGTCTGATGAGGAAATAGAATTGCATGATAATTTCGACAGGAAATGATTACTATAAAGAATTTTTAATAATGAAAGAGGATTGCACTAATAGGGGAATGGCTAGTAAAAAGTAGAGAAAATACTAAAGAGTATAGGATAAGTAAGAAAAAGGAACAACCCTACCTTCAGATTAAGATGGGACATCTAAAGAAGAAAGCCTTCCCTCAGGCTTGAGATCTCAAACTTGTTGAAGACAATTTCTGCTCACTGAATGGCGGGAAGACCTAGTGCAATGCTGGAAAGTCACATTCTGAAATATTTTGAAACTTTTTCTTTTACTGAGCCTCATGGGGTGGATGGTGTCTCATTGTGAATATTTTACTGCAGAACTTCTAGAGCAGGGTACTGGTAGAGTTGCTGGCAGCTGCTAGCTCCTGTGCACTGCAAAAGGTTTTGTTGAAGAAGACCTTCACGCTGTAGGATCCAGACACTTAGAGAAGCCACCTGCCTGTTGAGTACGAGCTGGGTGTTAGAGAATCATACCTCTGCAGAAGCTTGTTGGACGAGTACATTGGAAACAGGCAGTATAATTCTTTCCTCCTGTGGTGTCTTTACAGTGTTTTGTATTGTAAAGCTTAATGTTATGCTGGCTGTAAGAGGAAAAAATATTTAAAGGACTGTTTTTCATGGCTGATAATCATGATTTTGGAGCTCAGAGGCAATAAATTGATAAGTGGGATACTTACTAGGGAGGGAAAAAGGTTCTGGAAGGAGGTGCCTGTTTTTTTCTTCCTGCTTTTTATTTATTTATTTTATTTTTTGATGCTAGGGATTAAACTCACAAGCTCATGCTTGTCAGGCTGGCACTTACACCACTGAGCTAAATCCCCGGCCCCCTGCCTTTATGTTTAATTGGAGAAATGACAGCATATTTACAGGCTGAGCTGGGAATGATCCAATACAACATGAAAAATTAATGATTCAGGAAAGATGGCAAATCTCTGGATCAGTGCAGGTGAAAGGATTGGAGTGTAGTGCACAGGTGGAGAGTTTTGCTGCAAGTAGGAATGTGGTCAGTTCATCCACAAGGTACAGGCTGGTTAGAGAAGTCCTAGTATTGCTAGATGACTGGATACAATGGAGTGCAATGGAAGTTTGTGGAATTTCTCTTCTGAGTTCATTTTATTTATTTTAACTCAGGTGTTGGGAGAATGTGGAGTGAATCTACTAGGTTACTGTTCCTAAAATATGGGTCCAACTGGTAGCATCACTTGGGAAACATTTAGAAATACAGCTTTTTTTAGGGTTTATCCCAGGGCATACTGATAATGTTGAAAATTAATTGGCTAGAGTAGCGGTTGGGCATATATAATATGTTAAATATTTTACATTTAGTAGTCTATATTCAGCCTCTGATACATTTTCTTCTTTGTTTCTTTTAAACAACCCTTTAAAAATACTGTGTTCAAATCATTCTTGGCTAAAAGATCATACAGAAGTAGGCTGTGGCATGAATTTGGTCAGTCTCTGGATTAAAGAATTGTTATGTTATTGCTTACCAGTGTTAAGGACTTACTGAAGATTCACATTAATGTGGGACCAATAAGTATGGTTGATACTTTCTTTTCCAGCCACATTTAGCTTCTAGGTACGTGTGAGGAGGACATGGGTGTAGCCGATCAAGTACTGGCAAAGAAAAGTACAAAGGACCAAGATAATGCAAGAAGATGATTAAAATAACTGATGATAGGAGAGTAAGATTGTGGGGGGATGGAAAGTTGATGAATGGACACTAAATTACACTTAGGAGCAAGGAGTTCTGATGTGCTATTAAACAGTGGGTTGACCATAAGATAATACAGTGTGGTACATTTTAAGACCTAGGAAGAAGGATTTAAAAAATTGTACTATAAAGAAATGATGACTGTTTCAGGAGATACGCTTGATCAGTTATAAACATTACACAGTGTATATGTGTATCAAAACAGTACGATACTCCATTAGTAGGTACAATATTTGTGTTTGTGTCTCAGTTAAAAAAATAAACTAAAAATACAGGCCTTCAAAGCAGTAAGAAAAAATGATGATGGATTTTTAGCAGAATAGGGATAGAGCTGAGAACATGCAGCAGAGCAGGATAAAGAAAAGGTGCCAGGTAGTGATTATATTCTGATAAATGTTTTTGAATGCTTAAGGTGTAAAAGATAAAGTTCTAGTCCTTTGAGATAATTAAAATGAGAGTATCTGAAATTTGTACACAAATTATAATTTAAAACTTAATCTCTATCTAAAGTCTATTACTGGTTTCCCTCGTGAAGTTACTATTTTAGTACTATTGGTTGAACCAAGCAGGCAGTCCTGGGTACAATCTTGTCTTTTTTCCCCTTTTATTAAAAATGGAAAGGAGGAACAGGTAAAAGAAGTTGAATTTAGAAATAATTTCATCATAAAATGGAATTTATAACTTCCTCAACACTTCTAATATTCTTTCAAACAGTATACTTTTATTAAAACCATTTTATTGGATTATTTTCCTTTAAAGTGACTATTCCTGCTTTTAAGGATTATATTGTTGTTTTAAGTAGTTTAGTTACCCTTTAATTTTATTTACAAAACAAAAGAATTGCAAGTACAAAAAGATAAAAGAATCTTATCCACTAATTAAGGAACAGTTTATCTCAGAAATCATGGCAGTGTGGACATTTAGCAACTTTACAGGCATAAATGAAATAAAAATGAGTGTTTGCAGCCTGATCTTTTTAGTGCTTTGAGACTTGAAATATAGTTTTATTTAATATTTTCACTTTATGTTGTTTTACAGTCTTTCGCCCCATATCTGCTAATGCCAAACTCCAGATGAATCGCCGATCAGATTTTGACTTCTCTGACCCCAAAATAAACTTGGAAGTTGAGTTACATAAAATAGCAATTGAATTTAATAAACCGCAGGTGATTTTGTTTGATGAAATTTTAAATTTGATGAATTTTAAATTTTGAATTAAAATATAAGCAAAACTAAGATTCGAAATATTTTTCTAAAATTTGTGTTATATGGCAATTTCTTTTAAAAGTTGATAATTTAATTTTTGTCTTCAACAATTGAAGTAAGATTTTGAAGTATTTAAGAGCTTTTATTTTTCCATTCTTTAGTATTTCAGTGTTGTGGAGCTTCTTGAGTCAGTTGACATGATGAAACAAAATCTGCCTTACAGGAAGTTCAAACCTGATGTGCCTCTTCATCATCACGCCAAGGAATGGTAAAATGCCTTAAGGCTTTTACTTAAGATTAGGACATAAAAGCAAGTTTAACGTAAAGATATTGTTTAACAACTTTCTGTCAGTAAGACAAAGTACTTGCTGCCCACAACTGAAATTAAGGAGATCTGTTTGGCTCACAGATTCCGAAGGGCTCAGTCTACAGTTGACAGGCTTCAGGGCAGAAGTGGCTTGGTTAGTGTTGTGGCAGAGGAAAGCTGCTGCAGGCAAGTGGTAGCCCTCCAGGAATCAGAGGACAGAGAGAGGGCTCCAGGACTGTTCCAGGTCCCTGCCAGCCACAAGAGATGTTGGAGGGACATTCCCATTTAAACCATAGCAGATACATTTTATGGTCTGTTGCAAAGTATGTAATTTGTCTCTAGCAACGTATGTGCTTTTGCTTATTGTAATGAAAGTTGACTCAAGGGATTCTATAACAATTTATAACTGGGGACACTGAAATGTAGTTTTCAGTTACATAGAGGAATCAGTCTTTTTCCAGTTATTAAACTACATTTTGGTTTATTTTCTAGGACTTGCATTTTTTTTCTCTTCCCTTCCCCCTGCTTGTCCTCCACACTTTTCTTTCAGATTCATCAAGCCTTTAGTACTAAAGTTCTGTTTTAAGGCCTGGAAAGGTTATGGGAGCCTACTTAATATGTATTTAAAAATTCAAAAATCTTACTCCAATTTTTAAGCTATTTTCTAGTTAGTTGATGTTACAGTTATTCAACTAATTGACCTGAAGAATTAACTTGCAGTTCTTTGGGTAACATGTGATACAATGCCAATTCTTGTACAGAGCTACTGTGTTCTAAACAAAATTGAATGGTTTGCTTATTTTCACTATGGAAGCAGGTAAAGTTAATAATGGAGGACTGGGGATTTAGCTCAACGGCATAAGCACCTGCCTTGCAAGCAGGCGGTCACCCCCGGTACCGATATAAAAAAAAGTTAATAATGGATTGTTATATAGACATGGGGAAAGTAGTTGTTCAGATAGTATGACTTTCCTAGTCTTTCATGTTATGCATTCCTTTAAGGTTCACACTGTTGGTCTGTGAGTGTTAAGCATTTCTTTCTTTATTTTATTTCCTTTTTTAAAAAACTAGGTGGAATTATGCTATACGTGGTGTTCTTGAAGTAAATGTTGGCCCCAAATTACGAATGTGGTCGTGGAAGCATATTAATGCACATAGACAAAAAATGAAGCAGTATAAAGAACTGTATAAAAAAAAGCTAACAAGTAAGAAGCCATCTGGTGAAATTCTCATGTCTTTGGAGGTTAGCATTAAAGAACTGTGTTTGAGTTTTTTGCACTGTATTACACCTCCTTTGTCTTTATTGAGTAATCCTGATTATTTGTTGCAATTTTTACTGTTGGACTGTATTTTCTTCTATTTAGACATTTTTGTGCTCTTACCCATTTACTATAAGTTCTGGTGCGAGGCTGTTAGCTTTTAAAATTTAGTGGAGTATCTTTAATCTTAGGGAATTTGAGTTGAAGCAAATTGAAGCTTCACTCTTAAATTCAAAGCCTAAAAAGCATTTACTATGTCCTTTTGAAATTTTTCTGTTGATTTCAAACCTGTAAGTTATCTGGCACCGATCCATTTCTGCTATGTTGTTAGGCAGTTACACACTGTACATTGTTTTCTGCTTTCTGTATGTGCAATATTAGTTGTTATTGATGTGCCTGTGCTCAAATACGTCTTGTCTTTCTGTTCAGTTTTTTAAAAATTTATTTAAGAGAAACAAAGACACAGAAGAAAAAAACAAGAAACAAACAACAACAACAAACCCAAAACAATAAACAGTGTAGATTGTCAAAACAAGATGATAGAAAGTCAACCATGATTACAATGTTGTTACCTTCAAAAGTGTTGCTTACATTAGACATGGAAAATTGATCTAATCATATGAATATTAACTGTTCTTTTCCAACAACTTAATACAGTTAGTACTATAGTCACCTTAGCTATCTTATGTGTGTATGTATATATCTGTGTGGTGTTCTTGAAGTAAATGTTAGCCCCAAATTACGAATGTGGTTGTGGAAGCATATTAGTGAACATAGACAAAAATTGAAGTAGCATATTCAAGAACTGTATAAAAAATACAAACTGTATAAAAAAGACAAATTTATGTCTTCTTTCCTCTTTTCCCCTATCCCAGTTACTTTTCTTCTTTGAGCAGATTACCCTTATTCTTTTGGGAAAATGCCCAGAAGTGGAATAGCTGATCAAATGGAACCTCTAGTCCTCGCTTTGTGAGGAATCTCCACACTGATTTTACAGGGGTTGCACCAGTCCACACTCCCACCAACAGTGGAGAAGGGTTCTTTTTTCCACAGCCCCTTCAGCATTTGTTATTGGCCAATTTCTTGATCTTGGCCATTTTTTCTGAAGTGAGATGGTTTCTCAGTGTTGTTTTAATTTGCATTTCTGTTTGTTCTTGGTGGGCTGTTGGACTGAGATTGCATCTTGCTGCTTTATTTTGTCATTTTCCTTTGGGACCTGTGTGGCTGGCCAGGCACCCTCCCAATGGGCTGCACTGGGATGCTGTCCTGGGCAGAGCTTTGATCTTCCCCTATCTATGTAGCTTGCTGGGGCACACCCCTGAACTGTGGTGCTGGAGCCTTGTGCTGTGATGGGCAGAGCTCAGAATCGTCAGGACCCACTGGCTAGGCCAATCACCCCTTAGGGATGGCTCTGGGGCTCTGGGCTGGGCAGGGGTTGGTACCTCTGTAACCTGTGAGACTGGCTGGGCATTGCCCTGATGGATTGCACTGGGATGATGGGCTGGGCAGAGCTAGGGTCCTCCATGCAACTAGCCAGGACACAGCTCCAGAATGTGGGGCCAGAGGCTTGCGCCTGGCTGGGTGGAGTTCAAAACCTCCAAGATCCAGGAGGCTAGCCAGAATGGACCCCCAGAATGTGGGGTCAAGGCCTTGTACTTGACTTGTACTTGGCTGGGAGAAGTTTAGATCCAGACCATGTAGCTAGCTGGGATGCCTCCAGAGCAAGGTTCTGGGGCCTTACTCCTGGCTGGGTGGAGTTCAGAACCTCCAGGGCCCATGGGGCTAGCCTGGATGCACTCCTGAACTGTGGCACTGGGGCCTTGTGCTGTCTCTGCTATCTCAAGATTTTTGCTTGTCCCTAAAGTTCTGTTTAAGTTGTATCTGTTTCATGAACTTTCCTGTGCTTAAATCCTATCTCGTGCATAACCTTCCCTGAACTTTCTGCCCATAAGTAGCTTTTTCTCTTAATTCTTGGGCTGTCTCTAGAAATTTTGTGTTTAACTATCCATCTTGAGGTGTTATTCTTATATTAGTCTTACCTTTTAGCATTATGGTGTATTTTAAAAGGGACTATTTTACCAGATTATTAAATCTATCCTCTGAGGATAGATATCTTCTTGAAATTTTTAGGTTTTATTTTAAAGGGAGTAAAATTAAACACAATAAAACAGAACAAAATAGGACAGAAGAAAGCAATGGAAGAGATACAAATTTCAAAGCTAAATGACCGGAGATCTTCACTAGCTATCATATTGTCTCTTGTTTTCTTCCAAATAGTTGTCTATGTCTTCGCATCCAGAGAATTCATACAAAACAATACAGTATAAAACTGATCTGAACAGAATGAGGAAGGTGTTTTAGGTCTTCAAAGCCAGACAATAGAGAAGTCACTAATGGCTGTTGTAGATTCTTTTCAAAATAGCTGTTCATACTTTCATGTATATTGAAGTTCAACAAAACAGGCTAAAATAACACCATTAATTAGAACAAAGCGAAACAAGGATAAAAGTATTTGCCTTCAAAGAAATGGTAGAAGGAAATCCCCCCTGTTTGCTACATTGCCTATGGTCAACCTCTCAAGGGATGTCCAGATCACAAGTTCCCACTTGCTAAGGGCGGAGGGGTGGGATGTGTGTGATGTTTGATTCTCAGCCTGGGCACCTGTAGGCTCACAGCCACTCACCAGGATGGGGAGAGGTTGCTCAGTTTCCCAGTGCTCCAGGTCCCAGCATGATACGGGTCCCAGTAAAGGCTACTGGCTCTCTTCCTGGGCCGCCGGAGCCTGCCATGCTCACAGTTGCTCACGGGGTGGGGGTAGTGGGGGGTTGCTTCAAGCCGTTTCTTTCTAATGAATTGACCATTTCACTGCCCAAGTTCTGAAATGGTCCACAGACCATAGAATGACATCTCTTTAGACTTCTGCTTGAAACCAACAGCATTAAGAAGCTGCCGGCCTTGATTCAGGGCCAATATCTTCTTGAAATGTAATCATTCTGAATCTAGGACAGATTTCTCATTAGTAGTAAAATGTGGTTTGAGCATGAAACTTGAAAGTAATCATAAGGATAGATAGGTATGATGAAAGATTTAGCTTATCTCAATTCATTCCAAACATCTTTGGAAAGTGAACAAGTTAAAAACAAGTCTTAAGTCTATCTAAGTCTGCTTGGAATATCCTGATGATAGTGTAATATGAGGAATTTATAGTTACGTTTTTAGTTTCAAATACGCTTTTTATGTTTAGCTGTAGTTAAAACCCAAGTTAGTTAGTTAACTTTAAAATACATGTATGGTGTCTTTCAGTGTGTGACTAACTCTGTTTATAGTTGTAATTCTTGTAGGTATTGCAGGTGTAGCTTCTTTGTTCAAAATGCTGCTCTGTTCTAGTAACTTGTAAGCTGATTGTGCAGACGTTTTCTTTCAGAATTTAATATATATATCTTATATAGATTGGTTGGTGTCTTCTTCCTATCCTTCCTTTAGTTGAGAAACTTGATGTATTATGTACACCTTTTTATGTGAAGTTAACATTTTTATTTATATTTTCAGGAATTGGAGAAAACCCTGGATGTCTTCAATATAACTATAGTGAGACAACAGGCAGAAGTTGAGGTAATGTCAGATTATCATTCAGTTATTAAGAGCAAATTAAATTGTATGACAGATTTGTAATGTCATCAATATCATGCTGTAAAATACTGTTTCCTTCAGAGAGTTCAAATTTACTTTTGTGTGTTATAAGACAACTTGAGTTAATCTTTGCCACATGAATTTAAGTCAGACAAATTTTTATAGAAAAAAATTTTTATTAATAATTGGGCTTACCATATATTCATAGTTCTTGTGAAGCTGAAAAGGTAGTTATTTTCTGTACATGTTACCATGTCTTGTAAGATGGTAGGGAGAAGTATGTGGCAATCTGAAGTTCTTTTGGCTGATGTTCCAGTTACTATGTTCAGTCGTCTGTGTATCTTGTTTGTGTTTGCTCACTTAGGTAGATACATTTTGGAAATACAGGCTTGTAGTTCTTTTTTTCTTTTTACTAAGTTTATTTGTACATTTTAAGTATACATAATGATCACATATATCATGGGGAATTTGAACCTGTACATGTTACAACTTGATTCTTTTTTTCCCCATTCACCACTGGAACTTCATTCTTCTTCCCTCATTTCCAAAAGCCTTAATTTTTTTCTTTTTTCAGCATTTTTTGTTTCTTCTTTCCATCCTCCGCCTTCCCTAGTTCCCCATCCCATTTGACTGTTTTTTTCCTGTTTCACTGCTGTTTCACAGTATTTGTTACACTTTTTTTTTTGTACCAGGGTTTGAACTCACGACTGCACAATTGCAAGGCAGGTGCTTATGCTGCTGAGCTAAATCCCCAGCCCCTGTTACACATTTTTGTCCTTATGCGCACTTTGGGTTTCTAACACCTTAGAAACAATGAGTTATTTACATGTGTCTGATTTATTTCACTTGAGTATGGTCTCAAGATGTATCCATTTACTTAGAAATGAGTTTATCCTTTATGGTTCAATAATACTCCATTGTATAAAAGCATATCTCACATCATTAGTAAACTCATTTGGAAGAGGCAAAGGCAATTCTGGGCAACAAAGACAAGACAGGGGCATCAAAATTCCAGGATTTCAAATTACACTACAGAGTTACTGTGATTAAAAACAGCATGGCATTAGAAAAAAAAAAAAAAAAAAACCCAAAGGATCAGTAGAATAGATTAGAAGATGTAGAAACAACTCTAGATATACTCAGCTACCTTACCTTTGACAAAGGAGCCAAACACCTTCAGTAGAAGATGTTTAATAGATGATACTGGAAAAACTGTTTTTCCACATGTTGAAGATTAAAACCAGACCTGTATCTTTCACCATATACTGTACTAAAATTAAAATGGATCAAATATCTAACTATTAAAACAGAAACATTTAATCTGCTGGAAGGAAAATAGGTAGAACTTTTAAAGACATAGGCATAGGCAAAGACTTTATGAACAAAACCCCAATTGCACAGGAACTATTACAGAGAGTCAACAACTGGGATCTCATCTTTTTAGAAAGCTTTTGCACAGCAAGAGAAATTGCCAACAAAGTGAAGAGACAATCCAATATGGCAAAATATTTTGCCAACTGTTCTCAGACAAAAGAGCTCTATAAAGAACACAGAAAGAAAAAAATCAAACTCCCTAAATTTAAACATTCAGTCCAAAAATGGGCATTTAAAGGAATAGACACTTTTGAGCTAAAGTAAAAATAGCAGATAATTATAAGAAAATGTTCAGTGTCACTGCTCATTTGATAGATGTAAATTAAAACACTCCCAAAAAATGGCTGTTATCAAGAAATCATCCAATAACAAATGCTGGCAGGGCTGTAAGGAAAAAGGAATTCTTCTTGACTGCTTCTAGACTGCTGCAGCCACTGTGGAAATCAATGTGGAGAGTCCTCAGAAAACTAAAGGTAGAGGTTCCATTGATCTCAGCTATTACTCTTGGTACCTCCCCCAAAGAATTAAAAGCAGCATACTATAGCGATATATGCCCACCCATGTTTATAGCAGTACAGTTTGTAGCAGCTAAACCTTGAAAACAGTCCAAATGCCCATTAACTGATGAATAAAGAAAATGTGGTTCTTTAGACAATGGAGTACTATGTTCTTTTGATTGCTAAAAAAGGGTAATTTGATACTTATGTGTAAATTTAACCATTTTAGGTAAAGAAAGCTGGACATAGGATTTATAGAGAAGGAGTAAAAGATCCAGAGGATAATAAAGGATGGTTTAGCTGGCTGTGGACTCGGTCAGAATCAAAAACCAAACAGACTAGAAAGCAACCCGATGTTAAACCTGGAAGTATGTTCATTCCATTTTATGTAACTATATAATTATCAGGTCTGAATTTAATTTCATAGAAAACTGTCACTGTAATTGTGTGTGTATGCATATAAAATGATGTATCATTTAAGTTCATTATATAAAATCTTTGTGTGAGCCGGAGATTTAGCTCAGTGGCATAAGTGCCTGGTCATGAGTTTGATCCCCGGTACCAAAAAGAAAAAAAAAGAAAGAAAAAAGTCTTTTTATGTCTGAAATACCTATTTTGCCTTTTTTTTTTTCCCCTTTTGAGTTAAAGCAACTGTTGTTTCTCTTCTGTGGATTGACCGGATGATTCTTATTTATAGAGATCAGTGGGTTTCACTGTGACATTTACATACATGCAATTTAAAGGTATATGCTAATTTTTAAAAATCTTAGTAATGCTTACAAAAGAACTTTATATCCAGAAGGTTTAATGAAGATTGCATAATCTTATACACCATTTTAAATTTTAATTGAAATTGTTCTTGAAAAATTTTTATTTCTTAAATCCTTAAGATCATAGCTTTGGGACTTAGATGTATATCCTAGATCTGTCCTTTCTTGGAAGTATGATGCTAGCAAATTAGTTAAGCCCACTAAACCTGTTTTATCCTCTGTAAATAGGGAGGAAATTACATTTCTTTGCCTATCCCTAACCCTTAGCCCTTTTTTAAGCTCCTGATTAATGCAAACATTTAGAAATTGATATTGCTAAATTTGTAGGGTTAGTAATTTATGTTTTTGGAGAGTAACTTCTAAAATTGCTAATGCTATCCTAACATTCACTGGTTTGAAAAGTAATAAAAAAGTAACTTTGCATTTTATTTATAAAGGCAGCTAAATTGTTTTATATTGTTATTCAGAACCCTAAAGCACTGATTTCATTTGTAGTTCTTGAAGAAATGTTGACACCTGAAGAAAAAGTTTTACTCTATGAAGCCATTGGCTATAGTGAAACAGCAGTTGATCCAACTTTGCCAAAAACAGTAAGATGTTTTCTTGCTTTTTAACTCTGAAGTTTAATATTAGCAATTCCTATTTTAGTCTTTTCAGATGTATGTATATACTACTAGTTTGTTCTCTGATCACTTTCTAGGTCCGTAAGTATTGCATTTATTTTAATTTCCGAAGTTGAATAGAAGTTATTCTGTTTATTTTTTTGGTGTTAAAAGTGCTGATTCTTTAAAAGTGTTATAGTTTTTTTAAATTAATGAATTATACAAATAAGATTATATGTTGTATTTATATATTACATATATATGTATTTTTTTTCACTTTATTTTTCTGGATGTGCCCTAGTTTGAAGCCATGAGGATTTTCATTCACTTGAAAAGTATGTCTGTTGTTTTAAGAGAGAGTCACCAAAAACCTGAGCTCATAGACATTGTAGTGGAAGAATTTAGTTCATCGATTGTGCAAAGACCAGGAGCACAAGCAATAAAGTAAGAATTAATTTGTTTTCTTTTGTAGATCAAGTGTTTCTAATCTGAAAATCTGAAACCCAGAATGCTCCAAAATATGAAACTTCTTGATTGCTGTCATAAAATTCCACACCTGAGCTTATGTGATAGGTCATAGTCAGAATGCATATGCACTAAAAGTATTATATACATATTTCTGTACCTCAGGTATATATGAGATACACATTTCACATTACCTCAAGCATATGGATATATTCTTTTTTTTTTGTCTTTTTCCTTTTTATAGGTACTGGGGATTGAACTCATGACTGCCTGCTTTCAAGGCAGGCGCTTATGCCGCTGAGCTAAATCCCCAGTCCCTTAGCATATGGATATATTCTAAGGTGCAAAAAAATAAAAATTTTCAGGAATAAGTATTTCTGGTCTTAGCTCTTTCAAATAATGATGTTCAACCTGTGTTTTGTTTTGTTTTTTTTTTTGTCTTTTTCCTTTTTATAAGTACCAGGGATCGAACTCGACTGCCTGCTTGCAAGGCAGACGCTTATGCCGCTGAGCTAAATCCCCAACCCCACAACCTGTGTTTTAAAAGAAAAAAATTTTGAGGTTGAAGTTTTAAGTCACAGTCTTTCAGTCTTAAATGCGATAGTTTCATGTATGCTTGCATGTATTTTTACAAGCTTATATTTTTTGTCAGTAATATATTGAATATGTTCTAGAATTACTAATGTTTTCTTAATCTTTAATGTCTAGTTACATGTTACATTAAGAGAAAAATGTAAAAATGTTCACTGGCTGTACCACATACACAAAAAATTAATGATGTGGTTTTTATTATTTTATTTCATTTTTTATTTTGATTTGATCTTGAACTTGCAAAGATCCTTCAGCTTCAGCCCTGAGTGCTAGGAGTATAGGTGTGTGCCACCACACCCAAATAACAAATGCGGTTTTTAAATATGAGAATGTGTTTGTTTTTCTCTTGTTTTTAAGATAGCACTATTGAAATATAATTAACATACCTGTAATATACTCTTTTAAAGTACAGAATTCTTTCTTTCACAATTTTATTGTGTATCAGTTTCACATTGGTCTGTTAACAAGGTTGTATACCTATCACTTGTTCCAGAACTTTTCAACAACCTTCTAAAGAGTAAAATTAACGTTTTAAAGAGTGAAATTTAGTGTATTCATTCTGTTGTACAGTCACCACCTGTGTATAGTCAAAACATTGTCATCACTGTGAAATGAAACCCTGTCTTATAAAGTAATCATGCCTCATCTCCCCTCTGCCTGTCGTTGGGGGAAACTTCATATGTTTCTCTTTCTGATTTATAAATCATGGGTATTGTATGTAAATGAAACTAATACATGGATTTTTTTGCATCTGACTTATTTCACTTAGCATAGTGTTTTTAAGGTTATCCATAGTTGTATATGTATGTATCCAAATTTCATGGATTTTTAAGGTTAAGATTCCACAAATTTATCCATGTGTCTATCAGTAGGCTTTTGGGTTCTTCCCACCTGTTAGCCACCAGTGACATTTGCTGTGATGAACATTCATGTGAAAGAATTTGGGTACTCTTGTTTGGAGTTGGAACCTGGGAGTGGAATTGCTGTAGCACATAGCTAATTCATTACTACCAAGCCATAATTTGTAGGGCTCACATTTTACATTTACAGTAGCAGTGTACGTGGGTTCAGATTTTTCATGTCTTTTTCAGTAATTCTGTTCTATTCTGTTTTTGTTTTGTTTTTAATTATAGCCATCCTTGTGACTGTGAAGTGTGATATTTTGTAGTTTTGATTTGAAATTCCTTAGTGACTGATAACATTGAATATCTTTTCATGTAAACTTTGACCATTTATTTTTGTTTTTGAGACAAGGTCTCAAAACTTAACTATGGAGTTAAGATTACCCTTGAACTCGTATGTTTGGACTTCCTATTTCTGTGTATACCATGTAAATGCTTTATATAAAATTTGATGTTTTGTAATCATGGGTAATTAATTATCGAAATTAAATTTCCTCCCTCTTCCCATCACTAGGATTTGCTGTTGTTGACTTACTGATGGGTCTACTTTTCACAACTGAGGATTGAACCCAGGGCCTTCTGAGCTATGTTCCTAGACTACTTTTTATTTGCAAAATCTAGCTTCTGGTGTTTTCAGCAGTGTGCTTAAGCATGAACCTTTCTTTGCTCTGTTAAAAATAATGTGATGCAGACATTATGTAGAGGAAAGTGCGTGGCAGCAAGGGGAGCTGCCGTCCTCTCAGCCTGCCTCTGCCCTTGGTCAGAACCTCAACTGTACAGCCTAAGGTGCAATGACAGCAAGCCCCTTCTTCCTGAGTGACACTGTCTTTTCTGGATGAACTTCACTGGCTAGGGCTTACTTCTTCTAGAATGGAACTTACATTTTAGGAGCAAAATGGTAGAGGGGCAGGTAGATAGCCAATATGCTTTGGGTATGTTCTTCAATATTCTTCTGAGTTAGAGCCTCTCTGATTGGCAGGAAAGCAGACTGCAGCTCTCTTGTCAGTGCCTGCTTGGAACAGAGCTTTTTTATTATAACCTGTAGCTGTGGGGAAAGAGAGAAAAACTGGCTTACCTGTTCCTACTGAGATAAAACTGGACCTAGATTTTCAGTGACATGATGTGGTGTGGGAGGTGGAGATGATCATAGTTCTGATGCCACAGACTCAATCTTGCTGAATTTTTAGTAGATTTTCTTGAGTAAATATTTTTCTGTTTGCAGTATGCTCTTAATCTTATTTCCAGGAAATTTGAAAATCTCTCTCTATGTCTCTTGCTTAATTTCCTGGGAAAAACAATTACTGAGCCTCTCACACAACCAATCTAGAATTTCTGCCTAATGCTTGGTTTTTAAGTACTTCTTTGTTGCTTTTAGGAGAAGTGATTATAACATTGTATTGTGGCATTTTAGGTTTGTTTTCTTTTTGTTTTTTTGAGACAGGGTCTTAGTGTACAGGTCAGGCTGGCCTTGAGCTCACTTTGTACTCCATGCTGGTCTTGAACTCACAATGATCCTCCTGCTTCTGCCTCCCGAGTACTGGGATTACAGGTGTGCACCACCACTCCCAGCTTAGTTTTGTCTTGATTAAAGATTCTAGGAATTTCCTATATTCGGATTTTATCAGTAAACATGCTAGACAGTATAGCTTTTTTACAGAGATCAAAATGTGAATATGATTCTTTGTGAAATAGTCTATGTTAGTTCAGAGGAACCTGCATTTTTTATGTGAATGGACTGAGGTTATAGGAAATCAAAATAAAATTGTCTTTACTAATTTTTATTTGATCGTTTTCAGTTTGGAAAAAAAGTTTAAATTGTCTTGACTTGTAATTTCTTTCCTTTTTTTTTCCTACAGATTTGAAACCAAAATTGACTCGTTTCATGTTACCGGCCTACCAGATAATTTAAGAAAACCCCACCTCCTGACTTCATTGGATAATGTGTCCCTTTTCCGAATTGTATTCGAGATAAATCCACTGGATGAAACTGTTGCTCAGAGGTGTATTGTAGAAGCTGAACCTTTAGAAATAATATATGATGCAGTAAGCATTTTCTCTATTGCCCAGTTTTAATAGAGTTCATTCTGAGTTTGTGCTTCCTGTTAATGATGCTTATTTTGACAGAGGACAGTGAATAGTATAGTGGAATTCTTCAGACCTCCTAAAGAGGTGCACCTAGCACAGCTCACTTCAGCAACTTTGACAAAACTTGAAGAATTTCGAGATAAGACAGCAACAGGTAAATTAAATCTGTACCTTATATTAAATATTGTCTGTAAAAATGATTTCATAAAGTTTACTTTATTTCTAGATGGATACAATTTTAGGAAAATAATGTGGTAAATTCTTTGTGTTTGAAGGCAAGTGTAACAATACTCACTTTTTATGCAGAAGTTTATACTTAATAACCACTGTAGAATGTTGTATAGAATCTTTGGATATCTCTTTGTGACTGTAACAGACTTGTCCTTTTCTGTTATAAGGAATTCCAGAGTCTGATATATTGGCCTCAAAAAATAAGTTGTATCTTTTTTAAAGATTGGCTGTAATTTCTTCCTTATTTGGTAGAGTTTAGTAGTAAAACCATTTGGGCCTGTAGATTTCTGTGTAGGAAGGTTTCAAATGTACAGATTCATAGATTATTTGCTGTAGAGATGATTGTATTGCTTCATAATTTGTTGAGACTTGCTGTCTTACTCCATATATGGTATTTTTTAAAAATGTTCTGCATATCCTGAAAAACCAGTTTAAAAATATTTATACATATTTCTAATGATGTTAATCATATACGGTAATTCAAATCTTTGTTGTCTTTACCTATTTTTCTTCTTTTCATTTCCTTGTTCTACCAGTTATTGAGAGAAATAAATGAAAAGTTTCTGTGGATGAATGTACATTTTTCTGTTTCTTCTTAGCTCTGTCATTTTCCTTAGGAAATTTGTTAGATGCATGCATGTTACAGTCTTTATTGTTATCTTTTATTTGCATTTACTTTATTTAAGCTTACGTCTCACAGTTAACTTTTGTGCTTTTAAATTTGGTTTGCCTTGCCCAGTGTGGTGGGTGTAATACTGGTACTCAAGGGGCTGAGGCAGGAGGATTGCTGTGAGTTCGAGGCCGTGGTAAGACCCTGTCTCAAAACAAACAAAACAGCTGTTTTCTTGCTTGCCTTTGGAGAAATTCTATGATTCTTCCCCTATATTCTGCTGTGTGAAAGTTACACATTCTTTAATTCTAAAGGAACAAATTTTTGTCAAAATATAAAAATTCTACATTCTGGGGCTGGGGATTTAGCTCAGAAGCATAAGCACCTGCCTTGTAAGCAGGCAGTTGTGAGTTCGATCCCCAGTACTGATAAAAAGTTAAAAAAGGGGCTGGGGATTTAGCTCAGCGGCATAAGCACCTGCCTTGCAAGCAGGCGGTTGTGAGTTCGATCCCTGGTACCGATAAAAATGAAAAAGACCAAAAAAAAAAAAAAAGTTAAAAAAAATTCTACATTCTGTTATTATAAATTCTAGTATCTTGGAAAATATTCATCACCCACCCTCTGGCTTATATGCTGTTATTCCTTTTTCTTCTTAACATTATTGGAATTTTTGTTGGGTGGGTATATTTAGGTGGGTTAGCTTAGAATTACCTATTCTTTGATTTTCATTCTTCCTTGCATCTCATACTTTTTGTCTGAGATTATTCTCTTTTTATTGGAAGGTCAGCATTTTTTCTTGTGAAAGTCTGCTGGTGACATTTTTGCTATAAATTTGTTCCTCTCAGTTTTTTAGTATATTTTTATTGAACATAGAATTTAAAGGTTGACAGTTGTTTTCCTTTTTAAAATACTGAAGAGGCCAGTCTGCTGTGTTTGGGTTCCCAAACTGATCAGTGTCTAGAGATCAGTATATTTGCTACTTTCTTACAGGTTATTTGTATTTAATGTTTTACATTTAAAATTTTACATTTTGTTTCCTGTAGTTCCAGTATGTTTTATCCAGCTTTGGGAATGAATGAAAATATATATAATTTTTTTTCTGTTGAGAATATTGAGTTTCACTAATATGCATACTGTTATCTTTAATTTTAGAAAATCTGTCTGAGAAATTCTTAGATACTAGCTCTTTAAATATATTTTTTCAGGCGGGTATGGTGGCACACACCTCTAATCCCAACACTCAGGTGGCTGACGCAGGAGGATCTTTGCAAATTCAAGACCAGCTTGGGCTGTAAAAGGAGCTCAAGGCCAGCCTGAACTGCATAGTGAGACCTGTCTCAAAAAGATAGTCAATCAGTATTTTTTTCTCTTTTTCTGAAATTCTGGCTAATTCTGGCCTTTCTGTCTTTTATTTCCCTAAACATTTTGTGACCTGCTTTCTTTTTTCTTTACACGTATTTTTTTTTCCTCTTACATGCTGTGTAATTTCTTATAATTTATCTTCTAGTGTATTCTTTTTTTTTAACTATCTAATATGCTGGTAAGTCTTTACATTAGGTTTAATTTTCGTGATTATAGTCTTCACTTTAGGAATTTTGCTTTGTTAAAATTTCATTGTCATTATTTTTTAGTTTTATTTCCTGTGGATATTTAAACATATTTTCTGTTTTTTCAAACATCATTAAATACATTTTGTATTTGATATGGTCTCACCAGACAGTTGTTTCTTCAGATAGTTTCATGAGTTGAAGGTTTGTTCTTTTCTTCTGTCTTTTGTTTCTCATGGCTCTTACTTGTACTAATTTATATCCCCTCTACCTAGTGTCTTTATACTGAGATTCCTCTCCAGCTATCTAGCTATCTATTTATTTATTTTTGTGTTGAAACAAGATTTCACTACATTGCCCAGACTGTGGCTGAATTTTGGACACTTCTATTTCAGTCTCCCAGATTACTAGAACTTAGACATGTACCACTCTGGTTCTTTGTGTCTTTTCATGCTTGGTAATTTTAAATTATGTGTTGTTCATTTTCCTTACAAGACTGTTTCTTCTGGCGGGTATCCTGACCATGTTGGTGTCATCTTTTAATTAAATTCGTTGCTCGAGATACTCTGGGCTGTAAGGGAATTGGACTGTACATTTACATAAAGGGTATATAGTGGTTACAGTTCACAGGGTTCACAGGATTTTCTCTTAATTTTTCCAAGATTCTTTCTTTGTGTTTCCTGTGGGTATATTTTCTTGAGAAGAAGGCATAACTTTGAGCTTCTTTTACTTTGAGTAGATATCTTTTGTGATCTCAGTTTTGTGAGTAGAGCACCTGTCTTAGATTCTGTATCTTTGTCTTGTCCTCTGTCTTGAGAAGTTGTGAAAAGGAATTCTCTCTTTTACCAGGTAGAGAAAATGGTCTCAGAATAAAAATTTTCTAGGTTTATCTTAAATCTATCAGCTTACAAGTTTAACGTGATTTTTGCCTTCCTGTACTATCTTGCCAGTGTTTTTTTTTTTTAATTGGTACCAGGGATTGAATTCATGACTGCCTGCTTGTAAGGCAAGGCGCTTATGCCGCTGAGCTAAATCCCCAGCCCCATTGCCAGTGTTTTTAAATAGGATTTTTTACTACTTGTTTTGTTTCCAGAAGTTTCTGTTGTCATTACTCAGAGTTAAGTTTGGCTATCTGTTTATCTGTGTTACTAGGATTTGAAAGTCTGATTAAATGTTGCGTAAGTTGAAGACATGATCTCTGTTAAAATTCATCTTACTAGATTGGTCAGTTGGAAGTCTTTTGTTTTATATTTGTGTCTTTGAATTAATGGTTTTCACTTCTGGGTACCACCACTCAGTATCAATTGACAGTGGATTCATTTAACAGCTGAGAGATTCTCTTATAGCATTTTTGTGTCACAGCACCTTTGGCTGTTTGATGAAGCTCAGAGATCCTTTCTTTAATGGCTTGAAGCATAATAAATAAATAAATATATTAGGGTCATGAGAAAAATAAACTACGTGTTAGTTTCCCACACACCTGAAGAATATAAGAAAGAGCATTTGAGGTAGTCAATTTTGAAGAGTCTAACTTGGGAAAGGATTTGGAAATTGCAGAAAGTTGAACTGGTTCTAATGTGGGAGAGGGAGTAAAATGATGTTAGAGAGGCATCGTCTTAGTTATATAAACCATGGAAGTCATTGAGGAGATAGGGTTTAGTTCCAAGAGCAGTGGGAAATCAGGGTGAGATACAGTAGACTTACATCCAAAATAAAGTGAGTATTTCTCTTTTCTTTCCATGATCTCACAGAGAGATCATTGTGTCCTGGCATAAGGAAAGGGTTCTTTATTCAGGCATGATGGCACAATTCCTGTAATCCCAACATTTGGGAGCCTGAGGTAGGAGGATTGCTGCAAGTTTGAGGCCAGCGTGGGCTATGTAGTGGGTTCAAGGCCTCAACTACATAGCAAGACCCTGCCTTAAATATTAAAAAAAAAAAAAAAATAGGATTCTTTGAAAGAAAAGTTTAATGTAGACTTGTAGACTTGCAGGGAAAAGAGGATTCATGTGTGTAAAGGAAGGAATCCGTGGATTCCATCCTGTGGGTTGGTGAGATGGAAATAGAGATATACAGAATGGATCCACCAGGCAAGGTAATCCCCAGGAGGAATGGGAGCTGAGGTCCACACAGATTCGACAGTGTTCACAGCAAGAGGCTTGTGTGTACCTGCCCGTCTGAGCTCGACACCCATCGTTGGGTGAGTAGGTAGACAGTGCGGCATGAGGGACACCACAACAGAAGACAGGATGGGCTGCTGCTGCACGGTAGCGTAAATGAATTACTGAGCTGACCGAAAGAAGAAGTAGACCAAAAGGTAGTATATACAATTCAGTTCCAGAGCCATACGTTGTGGCACACACCTGTGCTCAGTACTTGGTAGGCAGAGGCAGGAGGATCACTCCAAGTACAAGGCCAGCCTGGGCTATGAAGTGAGTTCAGGGCCTCCCTGAACTACCCAGCAGGACCATGCTGGGCTTGGCAATGTGTATTTGTAACTCTGCTACTTGAGAGGCTGAAGCAGGAGGAGCTCCAGTTTGAGGCTAACTTGGACTACATAGCAAGAGTCTATCTCAAAACTAAGACAAAGATATGGTTCCACTTATATAAAACCCTAGCGAGGCATACATGTCAATACAGACAGAAAATAGATAATAACTGAGGGCAAGAAAGATGGGGAGGGCTGGGTGTGGTGTGGCCTGCTGTGACCCTCAGAGCACTTGGGGTGCTGAGGCTAGAGGATTGCCAGGAATTTGAGGCCAGCCTGGACTGTATAGCAAGACCTTGTTTCAGAAATCCAAGAAAGACAGAAAGGGAGGAAGGAGCAAGGTGGGAGAGAGAGACTGTGGGGGTAGTAGGTACTTCCATTACTTGGTGAATGTTTCACTGGTATGTACATGGAAGTTTTATGTTTGTCTCTAGACATGTAATTGTCACATAAATGTAGTTTTAAAATGTTAATGTACCTCTATAAAGCCATTTAAAGACATATAAACCAAACAAAAGTTGATTAGACCTCTATAAACTTTTTTTTTAAAAAAAGGAAGAAATGGAGGATCGTAAGGGCCAGATTGTCTCTTGGGTAGGGGTGGCTGAGACACCCAGCAGATGACCACCTTGAGTGCTGTCTCCTGCGTTTGAATCCAGTCAGGTAGGGGGATTGTTTTGAGTTCCTTTTTGCTTTTGAATTTCCAAGTTGACTGAATTCTTGTGGGAATTCTTTGGCCATCTGTGAGTCTGTGTTCATGCTTGTACTGCCTGCCACCTTCCATCCTCATTTGAAGAAATTTCTCTGGAATCTGCTTTTTACATGCCAGCTCTGCTCTCTCCTCCTTACTACTCTTGCTCGGCTTACTTAGGAAAGACCTTTGAAAGTTCCTGATGATGACAGTTTCGATACTAATTTCTTGTATTTTCAAGAAGACCTGGCCCCCATTTAGGACATGCCATGCATGTATGTGTGTGCTGTCTTTCTGAGACAGAATTTCACTATTCAGTTCAGACTAGCTTTGAACTCACTGTGTGACCCAGGCTGGCCTCAGGCACCCAGTGATCCTCCAGCCTGAGCTTCTGTAGTGCTGGGATTATAGGTGTACACCACCCAGCCCAGCTGTGTCTATGTTTAGATAGTATTTGTCCTACTACAGACAAATATATTTAAAGCTGTATTCTTTTTATTTATTGTAATTACCTTTAAAAGTTTTTAAATTTTAGAATTTCAACCTTTTTTTCTTGTTACTGTTGTTTTCAGATAGGATCTTGCCATGTAGTTTAGGCTGGCCTTGTGGTCCAGGCTACCTTGAACTTGTGCTAATCCTTCTGTTTTTGGGATTGCAGGTGTGCACTGCCATGCCCGCTTCCGCATGTACTCTTTAAATAATTATTTCTTTAACAGTGATACCTTGGTTGTGGAATGGCTACGAACTCAAGTTTTCTGCTACTCTTATCACCAAAGTTCAAAAAAAATATGCTCAGTGTTTGTAACTTTGTTTGATAGTTAAACTGAAAATCTGATTTGAAAAAACCTGTATAGGCCAAGAATGAGTCAGGCCCTGGGTCTCGCCCTGGACACAGAGGGGTGACACTTTCGTCCTGTCCTTACCCAGATGACATACAGTCTTTGTGCTGTTGCATTAAAACATTCCTTCAGATTATATCTTAGTGTGGACTCACCAAATGTGGGGGGATTTCTTTTGGGAATCTGGTTTTTGGGAGAAAAAGAGCTAGATCGTGATAAAATAGGAGTTAGAGTCATTGCAAGTAGAAATATCATGAATTGTTCAAATGTCAGTCTGGATCAAGTCTTTCTAAAACTGTAAGGCTTTCTGCAAAAGGCGTCCCTCTTACTCAGTGCTTGTATGACCCTTCCCTACCTCAACCGAGTCTCAATTTGACTATAGGATGAGGGGTTACTTATTAAATAAAGTATATCACTTGTAGTTTTCAAATCTACCTTTTAAGAATTTTATATATCATTTTTAGTATCTTATGGTTTATATTTTAAAAAACTAGTTTTTGTTATAATTTGTTTTGTGTAGTTTTCCTTTTTTGTTTGTGAAGGAAGGTACAAAAGTAGAATCAGATCTCTCAGTAATTTTATAAAGCAAAACATTCTTTGTACACTCAAACTGTTTCAGTAGCTTACAGAATTTTTTCTGTAAGGAGAGGCTCACTTTGTGGAATCATACATAATTCATTTAGCTTTAAAGGCTAATGCTGGACTGAAACATAAAATGCATTGCTTTGGCATACCAATCACATGTAGGTGAGTTAATTATGTTTTAGAATAAAAAGCATCCTCTGAATGAATTAGCTGAAGAGTAGAGAACTCTGTTGATGAGGATTTAATAATGATCCAGGAGTTTTCTTTGTCTGAGAGTTAAATAACTAAGATGAAGTACATATTGTCATTCATCATGGTACACACAGCTCTAATGAAGCACTTATGAATTGGGAAAGATTTGTATGGATTTTAATTGGAGATATAAATGTTTCATACCACTTAATTTTTTTAAGGTTATATCTTTCTCCAATTTGGTCCAAGTTGAGTCTATGAGGTTTTTTGTGGTTTTTTTTTTTGTCTTTTTGAGATAGGTTCTCTATGCAGTTGAGGCTGGCCTTAAACTCACTTTGTAGCCCAGGCTGGTCTCAAACTCGCAATGATCCTCCTGCCTCAGCCTCCTGAGTGCTGGGATTACAGGCGTGAGCCACCATGCCCGGCTGAGTCTATGAGTTTTGTACTCAGATTTAATTAAAGAGTATACACATTGATCAGTACATATTTAAATTTATATTGGAAATGTATTGCTCATGGTTTTTAAATTGGTACTCAATTTTAAATTAAATATTTAATTTCACATTATTCTAAAATTATCTGTTTGTTTGCTTAGTGGTTCCTTATTTCTTCAGTAATTTGTGAATAGTATTTATAGCAAAGATGTAAATTTTCTGCATCTACAGGTCTGCTGTACATTATTGAAACACAGAAAGTTCTTGATCTCAGAATTAATTTGAAGGCTTCGTATATTATTGTCCCACAAAATGGAATTTTCAGCCCTACATCAAATCTACTTCTTTTGGATCTTGGTCATCTAATGGTACATATTAATAATATTTGATTTAAGAAATGATGTTTAAGATGTTTCTTTAAAGGAGTACTTTGGTCTTTAGACAATTTGATTTGGCTTATTGAGTTTTAGCTTTCTAGTTGATAGTTAGATTTGAGACATGTTTCAGGTGAATAAAGTGAAGTTTCATTTAATTAGTCTGCTTTTTATTCACTAAATTTCTAAAAATTTAAAGACCCACATGAGAAGTAAATTTAAGAATTATTTTTGTAGAACTTATGTGTTTATCTCCTTTTCAGTTTAAATCTTTTACTTGACTGATGTATATAAAATGAAGTTCTAATAATTTTAATTCTAATTTTTTTTGGTACCGGGATCAATGTTCATGACCGCGCACCTGCCAGGCAAGCATTTGTGCCTCTGAGCTAAAAAATCCCTGGCCCCGAAGTTTTAAAACTAAATGCATCCTCATCCTTCTGAGAATTGTGTGTGTGTGTGTGTGTGTGTGTGTGTGTGTGTCTGTAAATATTGACACTTTAACATTTTTGTTATTTTAAGTTGATGAATTATTTTGGATTAATCCAAGTCTCTTTTTCTTCCAGTTGTGACCTTGTTTTTTTTTTTGCAAAAATTTTAAGTGGAGAATAGTTTGCTTTTTGTATTTGTAGAACTGTAACCTTCAGTATAGTACCCATTGACCACATGTGACTAATTAAAATTAAGTAAAAAGCAAAAATTCAGTTCCTTAGCTAATGTAACCAAGAGTTTAATAGTCACGAGTGGTAGTTGGATAGCACAGATTCAGAACATTTCCTTCATCATAGAAGTTCTTTTGGACAGTGCTACTCTAAATGTAGAAGAAAACGTACAACAATTTAAAAGCCCAAGGGTGATGAATCATATTAGAAAGATTTTTCAGACTACCTAATAAATACTATGTGTCTTTTTTTAGTAGTGCTTGCTTTTTCTCCCCTCCCTTCCCCTTTACTGCCATCCTCTCCTTTTGTCCTTCTTTCTTGTTACTTTATCCTTGATACTTACATAGACCAATTGGTTTTAAATTTTTAATAAAATTTATATAGCTAATTATTCGTATTTGACATTGATTATCGAATTGTGTCAAGGGACACCTACTATACTATGCTATAGTAGGAAGAGCATAAGGTAAGGTATCTTAAGTAATTTGGTGATTTGCTTAACCAGTTATATATCATTCATTACCTTTTTGATAATCATTTTTGAGTGGCTGCTTCACATGAGCTATGTAAAAAGTGTTTCATATGTATGTGTATGAATGAATAAGATCTTTATGTTCTGCCATACAGTAGCGATTTCTGGGATGTTTAAGTGAAAAAAAACCAGTGTGCATAGTATGCCAAACGGGAGATAGAAGCATAGCAGGTTGGGAATCACTTAATGATACAGTTGAACTAAAATTCAGCTATTATAGTTTTAAACCCTGGCCTCTTATTATCAAGCTATCCAAGTATCTGTCGTTATACTAGAGGAAGATTGTTGAGCTAAATTTGTCTCTTGATCTTATTCTTCATGAAAAAATTTAACGAGGTTTTAAATCTTTCTTAAGATGTATTATTTTCTAGGACCATCTTGGTTCCTTTTAATATAAAGAAATAGAAATTATAACTTCATATGTAAAAATTTCCTTTATTTGTGTGCTTCTTGTTATATCTCTCACGGCTAATGACTTTTCTTAATTGTCTTGTACCATATGTCTACTTGTGAGTTTATTCTCCCCAGTTGAAATTTTATAGGTCTAAAAAACTAGAATCTTTATATAATACTTACATTTTGAAGTATTTTGCATAATCTAAACTATTAAAATTAACTTCAAGGTGACGAGTAAAAGTCGTTTGGAATTACCAGATGTGAAGCAAGGTGGACCCAATCTTGAAGCGATAAGGGACAGAGCTTACGATTCCTTTGATGTCCAGCTAACAAGCATACAGCTGCTTTATAGTAGAGTGGGTATGTATAAAAGGCAGTGCTGATTTTGCTGATGTGATTAATTAGGTTTTTAGACACTTTCTCTGAAACCTTCTTTCATAATACATTTAAACTAATATTTTTAAATTAGATGTGACAGTAAATATTGCATGATTCTCAAGCAGGAGTGAGTTTGACCCCTGAGAGACATTTGTCCCTGTCTGTAGACATGTTTGGTTGTGCATGTAGTGGTCAGGGGCACTACTAACATTGTGAGTGAGGTCAAGGATGCTACTAAGCATCCTACGGTGTAGTATATAGGTTAGGGCCCCACAAAAAGTGTGATAGAAGCCAGGTTGAAAAACTTGATTTATACCAGTATTTTCTAACCTTGAACTAAAGGTTGGCACATATTGAAAGTAACATTTGTCTTACACAATTAGATAACTAGAAGCATCTTCTTAATGCCAGAGGCAGCGGTTCAGGGCTTCTGACCGACCATGTCATTAGTGGTGGTCAGACTGAATATAACCACTGTGTTAGGAATATCTTTGCCCTGATCTCTGTGGGATACCAGTCAAGCATCTCTGATTTTTAGAGAAAACAGAAACACAGATTCACTTTAAAAGAGCTCTGACTAGTGAAGGAGACCTCAGATTGGTTTCAGCCCTGTTTTGGTTCCGCCACACTGCCTCTGAATCCCTGTAGTGTTGCTGAGCGTTTCCATCACTCAGCAGTGAGCTGACTGACAAAAGATGCATTGAAAAGCCAAAGTTGTCATTAAATTGGCAGCTTTTATAGGGCTGGATCGTTGTTCTTTCTTCAAATTTATTTGCTGAAGTCTAATTTATTTGCAGATTATTTTTTTAGGGAATACATTATGGTATTGTATATTTGGTTGCAAGTTTGTGAGCTGTACTCCTTTGGTAAACATTAAAAAAATTCGTGTTACTGTCCGAAGATTATTAGAATTTCGTAGAATTGTATTTGATAAACCTTGTTCTTAAATCTTTAATTGAGCAGAGTTTCTTGACTTTGTGGTTACTTTATATTACTGTCATGAAATCTTTTGATAAGTACCAAAACGCTTGCTTCTAGATATGTTTTTATCTGTAATATGGGAAATGTAATAAATCAGTCATTCATCTGAATGCTAGTAGAGTTTGAAAAGGTTATAGTAAAGCCTGTTTTACCGCTTACATCTAGGAATCTAATTATGGCTAGTTTTCCAAGACTGAAATTTTGACTGACGTAAAAGTCATTTGATACTTCAAATAAGATTGTGCACATGAAAATGCATTGTACTACATAGGTACCATTAATCTTTGGTGAATGTGTATGTGTGTAGTTTTTTTTTTCTCCTTCTGAAACTGGGGATTGAAACTTAAGCTTTGACTATGCTTGGGAAATGGCTCTAATCTTGTTACAGATGTTTTAAAGTTACTTTTCTTGGATTATAAATATGCCTATTTTAGAAAATTTGCACAATTTCCTGCTTAGACATGAACACTATTACTCTTTCATTGTATGTACTCTGAGTCTTGTATTCAGTTTATGTACCTGTAGGTGTACAAGGTATGCTTATGTGATGTTTATGGAGGTATTTGTGAGTGGATTTTTAAACATGATTATATAGTTCCTATCCAAATATTTTCTTTCCTTCACCAATAATATTTTAGACACTTAAATCTATGGTTTTTATTGTATTGTATTCTAAGGCTGTGCTGTAACTTACTTATCCATTTCCTTACTGAACATACAAGCTTGTAACCCTGCAGTGACTATCGACAGAGGATCATATATTCATAGAGGTCGATGTAAATTTTAGCTTTATCACTGGAATGTTAACCATAGGAAAGGTCTAAATTCCAAGAGCCTCAGTTTTCTAAAATGGGACAGCTATTGATTGTTGAGAAAATTTAAATACTGCCTAAAACAGTGGTAGTTATAAACCTTGAAAAAGTGGTACTGTGTACAAGTGACTGCTAAAGAAACTCCACTTTTTTCCTGCCTTTCCAATTATCGTCTTGTAGCCATGTTGTTTTTTGTTTTTTTGGGTAGGGGATCTGGTTGTTGTAGTGATTGCCAGTAGATACACAGGTAAAGTTAAAACTGTACTGCTTATTAAATAAGCCTTTTTTGCATTTGATGAGCATTTCTGGTTTTTTGTTGTTTTTTCTTGATGCGACAGAATCTTGCTATGTAGTTTGGGCTGGTCTTGAACAGTCCTGCCTCAGCCTCCAAAGTGCTGGGGTTACTGGCATGCACCACCACATCCAGCTAATAAGCCTTCTTTGTAAGAAAACAGAGAGAATCCTGGGAAGTAGCTGAAGAGAAATGATAAAAGAAAAATATTTCACCTGCTCACTGTGTATATTTTTAGATAATTATCTAGATTTGAGATGATTTCCCCATACCATTTGGTCTGTGAATATGAAATAATAATAGTTTTATGTTTTATATGTTCAGTTATGCTAATGTTAAATATGTACTGTTTTCTGTGATTAGGTGAGAATTGGAAAGAGGCACGAAAACTTAATATATCTACACAACATATCTTGGTACCCATGCATGTCAATGTGGAACTCTCTAAGGCAATGGTTTTCATGGATATTAAAATGCCCAAGTATGTATTACTTATCTGCTTCATGTAATTCTGCATTTTTCAGTAATTTTATAGCTAAGGAAATAACCATATTTCCCTAATTCTTTTTTGTAGTAAAATATACATAACATAAAGTACAATTTACTATTTAAGCTGTTGGGTGAGATTTTTTGGCATTAAGTACAATTCACATTGTAGTGCAAACTCTCACCACTGTTCATCTCTAGAACTTCATCATCTTCCTGTCTGAAACTTGATCCTCGTTAAATACTGTACCCGGCCCCTGACAACATCCATTGCTTTGCTTTTACCAACTTGACAGTTTTAGGTGCTTTATACAAGTGTGATCATACAGTATTGTCCTTCGTTGTCCAGATTACTTCATCTCCTCTTGGTTCGCCCATTAATGAAAGTAGGTTGTTGAAATCTGTTCTTAGAGAGCTATCTGTATTTACCCCTAATCCTCTGATTTATTCATATATTTTTTAGTACTGCTGTTTGATGCATATATGCTTATAATTATTATATCTTATTGTTGACCCTCGTGTCATTTTATTATATAATGATGTTCTTTGTCAGTGGTGGTTTTTATTTAGATGCAATACTTTGTTGCATACTATTACTTTTGACTTGTGCATTTTTCTTTCTTTTTTTTTTTTTTTTTTTTGTCTTTTTCCTTTTTATCGGTACCGGGAATTGAACTTACGACTGCCTGCTTACAAGGCAGGCACTTATGCCGCTGAGCTAAATCCTCAGCCCCAACTTGTGCGTTTTTCTAAAGTGATTCATGTAGATAGCATGCAGTTGGATCCTTTTGTCTTATCTGTTTTGTCAATTTGTTTTTTGATTGTAAAGTTTAAATATTTACATTTAAAGTAAATACTGATAGAAAAGGACTTACTTTTGTCGTTTGCTTTCTATAATTTTGTCTCTCCATTTTCTTAGTATTCCTTTGTGTTTTGTTGATGTTGTGACATGTTTTGAGTTCTTTCTCATTTCCATATTTGTATATTTTACAGTTTTTTTGTGGTTACCATAAAAATACTCCATACACGAAAGTTATTACAATCTGCTTAAAATTGATACTAGCTTACTCTGAACTGCAAGCAAAAAGTTATTTCTCCATCCCTTTAGTTATTAATGTTGCAGTTTAAATCTTTGTATGTTTTGTACTTTTAAACACAGATTTATGGCAGCTATTTTTATGTCTTTTTTATTGTTTTAAGTCCCCAGGTAAAATGATGTACAGTCATTTGAACAGACATTATGAAATGGTACAAATAATTATGAAAAGTGTAAAGACATAGACAGGTTAATTAGGCAGAGTTTGAAAGGGAGAGGAAAGAGCGAAGAGAGATTGAGCTTGAGCAGGTAAATGGGGCGTGTGCTGAATGAGAAGTTCAAATCAGTCCATTTAGAGGAGAACGAGGTCAGCCTTCGTGAATCTCCTGGGAAGAGTAGTGTGTGGTGGGTCATTATATCAGTTCTGGTTTTGTAGCGCCACAGAAATCTTTAGGGCTTGAAGGGTAGTTCACTTCTCTTGCCATGCTTGGATGTTGGGCTCATAGCATTGGTTTCTGTTTGGGGTAATTGCTCCTATTTGTATGTTGGGGGGTGACCTCATCATAGGTAAACTGCAAGATAGTGCTTTTTCTGGAATGCGAGAGGCCTGCAGGTTTAGGATAAAGACTGGGGTCTGCTGGGCACTCTAGGGGTTCTGGAACTGGACCTTGTGAAAGCTGGCAATTAGATATCCCATCCAGGAAATTAGTTATTCTTGGTGCCCTCAGTTTTGCAGGGGAATGGCTTATGCTCGTTAAGTTCAGGGCTAATTAACCTTGTTATGCAGACAGTGGAGTGATTAACAAGCATATGTGCAGACCTAAGCAGAGATCTGACAAAATCTTTTTAAAGTGATAAAAGAAGGCCCAGGTTTGTTCTGCTTTTAGTCATGTATTGGGCATCTATAAGTCCAAAGGCAGTTTTTTTTGGTTTTGTTTTTTATTTTTTTATTTTTTTGTTTTTTAAACAAAACTGCTTTTAAGTTTTTGACAGCCTCAGAAGGAAACAAATCATGCTTTTAATGAATAACAGGTAACGGGCAAGGAATTTGTCTCCTGTCTGTATGGTGGTCTCTAACTGTGTTACTTCCTTTGCAGTTTGAGCTAAGAAACCACTGAGGCAATTCACAGAGCAGTAAAATACTTAGATGTTGGGTATTGAGTCATATTTTTGGACATCTGATCTCCTGGACAAGTTATTTGACTTGCTGTCCCTCCTGAGAGGAATTGTATATATGAGAACTCAAAGCAGTGGGGAACCACTAGGTTGTGTTCTTCATAGGCTGTGAGGACTACTCAGAATAATGCATATAAAATATTTTCTTCATAGTCCATCATGTAATAAATATTTGATAAACAGTGATGTCATCTGTACTTGGCAAATAGTAGAGAGACATGTGATAAATAGTAGTGTCATCTGTATTTGGCAAAAAGTAGAGAGACCACAGTTAAGATGGAAATCAGAATAGTGAGTTTTAGCACTTAAAATCATATTTGAATTTATATTTGTACAATTTAAGGGATTCAGTCTTTTTAATTCTTTAAGCCCTGGTGAACGTGCCTTTATAATGATTCATGTATTTTAAAAACAGATTCAAGATTACTGGAAAGTTACCTCTTGTTTCCATACAAGTCACAGATAAAAAACTGCAAGAGATTATGGAATTGGTTGAAAGCATTCCAAAACCTGAACCTGTAACTGATGTCCCTGCACCTGTCAAATCATTTCAGGTATTACTATTTTCAGAATTTATAAAATACAGAATTAAAAAAGAAACTTCACAAATAATATCTGAAACAATCACAAGAACCTCAGATAAAATTATTTACAATCATTTTAACACTCTAAAAGAAATTGATGTAAACAGTGTGAATATTTAAGGAAAATATAAAATGAACTCTATCAGTTTTTACCTTTGCAACTTTCCTCTTCTTAATGGAAACACTTAACCATGCTTCTCTCATTTTTCAGAAAATTTTTGTGACATATGCTGTTGCACACATGTGCATGTATTCTATATACTTATTGTTCTGAATCTGTGTTCTTTTCATTGTTACTGTCTTACATGCTATAGATACCTGAGAGATAGAGTAGTCCCTTGGTTCATAAATGCTTTAGTTTGTGAACAGTTTGGCAGAATTTTGATTTTGTTTGCGAAATCTATATTCGCTAAAGAACAGGACTGAAGCCATTTTTCCCACATGAACAAAAACATGGCCATCTTTTCCAGAATGGTGGAACAAATGAAGTTTTTGCACTGAAATACCACCATATTTTTATGTTAGCATACACAGATCTTTGTAATTCTTTTTCATGGTTATATAATAGTGTTGTATGGTTATATCATCTTTAATAATACATTCCTTTTTGATGGGCATTCATATTATTATAATTATTTACAATTATGTAAAATACTACATTGAACTTTCTTGTACATATATCTGGTTATACTTTCACCCATAGGCTGAATTCTCAGAAGTGGAATTGTTGAGTAGAGCAGTGTATAATTTTAAATTTTGAGGCTTTTATACATAGATAGATGCAACTGTACCATACTCATAAGTGCAGTAAATCAGACTGCCTATGTAAACTTGGTCTTTTTTCCTTAGGCTAAGAAACTAAAAGAGTAAGTAAGATCCAAAAGCTACAGTAGATATTGTAAAAGGAAAAGAAACTGCTCAAAAGGAAAGAACATCTGGGGTGAGGGAAATAAGAAAAGAAATTTCAAAAAATTACATATATGTATACACACACAAGATAGCTAAGATAATTGTACTGCTAATTCTATTAGTTCATTGAAAGGAACAGTTAGTGCTTATATTGTTTGTATGCCTGTATCTTGTAATCTGAGAAACTATTTTTAAGACAACTGTGCAATATAATAATCATTGTTCATTTCTTGTTTTGAAATTATTTTTATTGTTTTTCTTCTCTTTAAAATAAATTTTGATGGAATTTTCCCATGTTTCCCTTCTAAACTGAGTATCACTATTATCAGCTATTAACAGTAAATGAGTATCCTTTTTCTAGCACTCATTATGTTGAATATTAGCAATTGTTAATATTTATTCTGAGAAAATGTCTTCTGGTATTGATTTGCATTTCATCAGTTAAACGTATTCCTAAATTTCATGATTATTTCAGACTGTTGGAATTGCTGCTCATCTGTGTGTTTTTCCTAATTGATTAGGTTTTCCAATTTATGGAAGTTATATTTGTCATTTAAAATTGTTTTTTCCATTTTGCTGGGTTTTCGTGTGTGGAGGTGGAGGTGCTTCCCCAAGGGCATGTGTATGCTGAGATGCTAGGCAGGTGCTCTAGCACTGAGCTGTGTCCCGGCCCATACTGTGTCAAACACTGTGCCCTGTATTAAATTTTGTTTACATTAAAGTTGTTTCAGTGTAGTTCATTTCTAGGATGAAAACAGTGTAATGGAAACTAATGTGGTACTTCCTTGTTTAAAGCCAGATGTAACAATAATCTTTTATGAAAGTTTATGCTAAATAACCATATTTAATTCAGGTCTTACTATAGGTAGAGCTGTCTTGTGATATAAAAGGAACAAATACAGCATAAAATAACATTAGACTTAATGAAAATTAAATTTCATAGTGTAGAAACATGTTTAACATTATTACTTACCAAGAAAATTAATTTGCATTGAAATACCATTAAACGATGACTATATAAAATATAAAACGATGACTATTAAAAATAAGAGGACTGAGCAGCATCCATGTTAGGATACTACCAGGATAAGAATTTAATGCTGTCTGAAAAATGAAAAGAGGAAACAGCAAAACCTTATGATATACTGCTCCTGTAATTCAAAAAATGGTTGACCTCCCTTTAGAAATAGTTCGATAGTTTTGTTGAACAAAGTTATACACTGACCACATGACTTGGCAGTTCTGCTCCAAGCATTTTACCAGAGAGAAATGAGAACATGAACATTTGACCTAGAATACTTATACTAAAGTTACTTATAATTTTAAGCAGCTGGTGCATATCTTTATTCCTCATACTTTGGGAGGCTGAACAAGGAGGATTCTGGGTTCAGCCCGGCAATCTGATGAGAGCTTGTCTCCAAACAAAAGAATAGACAAAAAACAGGGAAAATCCAATAGTGGAAAAACCTGATCATTTATCAAAATGTGGATAGATAAAAAAGTCATATTGGGGGCTGGGGATTTAGCTCAGCGGCATAAGCGCCTGCCTTGTAAGCAGGCCATCGTGAATTCGATCCCCGGTACCGAGAAAAAGAGAAAAAAAAAAACCAAGACAGTCATATGTTCACATAGTAGAATACCACAGAGGGAAAACACTGATACCTGTGTTAGTGATGAGCACTGATGGGGAGGAGCTCAGCTCAGAAAACTTCCAGGGTATGGAATGAGAAAGAGAATGAGAATCGATCAGTGTGTTTCACCAGCGTGGCAGAATCTAGACTCTAAAACCTAAAATATGTTATAGAAGAGGAAGATAGTAGGCCAGTTGCGTTCCTGAATGTAGGTACAAACAGTGCCCAGCATGGTGTGTGCTCAACAGCCTTCAGGCAGCTGAGGCAGAAGGATCGCTGTGAGGTTGAGACTAGCCTGGGCCACAGAGTGAGTCGAGGTAGAAGTTTCAGCGGCCCTGGTTTTTACAGCTGCTTTGTCTGTTTATATGTTTCTCGTAACAATAGAAATATATTTATTGAAATATAAACTTAAAAATGAAGCTAAGTTCTCCATAACTTACTGGTCATAAGTATTAAGACTTGTGGTTTCTTATCGATATCTGCAGCTGATTTCCTTATTTAGTAAATTGTTGTTAAAATATATCTAAGATTTAACTAAGATAACTCACATTCTCAAGGAAATTATTACATCAGTTCTACAATTTATATTTTGCTTTGAAATTATAAAAGCATTTCTTTAAATCTGTAGATTATAGTTTATTTTTCTAATTTAGACCCTAATTCTCAGTAATTCAGATTGAGTAACTTTGTATCAAAACTGTCTTAACAACTTTGACCAGAAGTGTTTTTTAACTGACAGTTGCTTTTCTTTCAGACTCAAACATCTATTTCCTTGGGAGCATCACAGAAAATAATTCCCTTCTTGGACCTTTCATGTGCTACTGAAGATGGTAAAATGAATGTGCTTACGAAAATTTTTCTTCTTGTACATGTATAGTTATAATAACTTGCATTGTGAGGCATATTTTCTTTAGATAACAATGTAGAGAAGAAGAAATGTTTTTTCTTTTAACCTCTACATTCTGTTAACGAAAGACAGGTTACAAAGAGGAATCAGGTTTATTAACATTTATATCTCATGGGTACTGAGGGAGATACTCAGAAATGAGTACCACGAAATGGTGATTAAAACTTAGATTTCTATACCAATTTGGGTTAAACAAAGGAAAAGTGAGTTTGGAGCTTGTGAATGGTGCAAGTGAGGGGAAAGTAATCAGGAAGAGTGTCAGAAACAAGGTTAAGGTTATGTAGAATGAAGTCAGCACCATCTCCTTCGATAAGAGTGTCATGGGTTAAGGGTCATCTCCTAGTAACATACACATGTTGTCTTTATACAGGTAGATACATTTTCATTATAAATTTTAACACGCTTTCCAAAAGAGAAATATATGTTCTGACTTGGAGCTCTTCTAAATGCTGTTTTTGAAAATAATCAACTCTATAATCTGTGTGCTAGAAAGACGTGACTTGGTGTAGCATGGTCTGGTCTCCCACAGTCATTCAAAACATTTCAGAGTAGTAAATGTTTGTATATTAGGACATTTGTACTAAAATTCTTTTTAAATAATAGAGTTCATGATCTCAGGGCTAAAAAAAAAAAAAACCCATGGAACTTTGCAGAACTCTAATTTATAATATAGCATTTATTTAGAGAATTTCACTGCAGTAAAATGTTAGATATGTATGATCTTTCTTACCAAAGGAAAAAGTTGTGTTAATGCCTACAGCCACATTTTAAAACTTATAAATATTCTAACAACAAATACCTCTTTTTTTCCATGTCTACATGGGAAAGAAAAAAATGTATTTTTGTATTTTTAAGACTTTTAAAGAGGCTAACGGAGTGTCATATTACTGCCCTTTTTTAGGAAGGTTTTCTTTTGTGACAGGAGACACTGTGACTTTTACACTATGACTTCAGTTTTAGATTATTAGGACTATTTTTAAGACTGTTTCCTTTAAATCTGTTTTTAATGGTTTAAGTGGTTGAATGCTCTTCCACTTTTCCATCCTTAATGTCAGTTTTGGAACTCTGGAGTAGTAATACTTGATTTCATTTTACAGTTGCCTCCTTTATCCAGGGAGGATAGGTTCCAACGCCCCAATGATTACCTGTGAAACCTCCATGATACACAACACTATTAATCATCTGTTCTTCCCTGTGTGTGTTGTCCTGTGATAAAATCCATTTTCATATTAACTGACCATTTACCTTGCATTGTGCCTGTAATATTTGCAGTATGAGGTATGGCACCAGAGTATCATGAGTTTTTTCCTTTCTTTCACAGTTTCAAGGATAGATTCATTCTTAGTATAGGTCTTAGCAACATTTCACTTCAAGGATTCACTTTATGACTTTTCTTTGGCATATCTGAATTCCAAGTGCCACTACTCTTAAGATTTTGGGCCATTGTTAAGTAAAATATATATTACCTAAAGGCAAATACTTCAACAGCAGGTCACCTAAGATGGTAAGCGACTAATGGATGGGTAGTGAGTGCAGTGTCATACTGAAGGAGTTCAGGAAGTTCCCCCTTGGCCTGATGATTATTTTACAGTACAGATCACTGGAGAGCAGTGGATGCCAGAAGAGGCTTTATTTACCGTGGTACTATTCAAAGACGAGACCTGCCAGAGAAGAAAATAATTACATAATCTCTTCTGAGTGTTGATCGAACTGTAGTGTATACAGAAGAGAATCTAATCATACCTGACAAAATTTATCACAAGCTGTTACCCATCTTGTAGGCCTATTCAGTTCCCAAAGAGGATTACTGTGCTTAACTGTTGTCTGCGCATGGGGCCCATTTATTTACTTAAAACCAGGTTACTGCCACTGAAACTGCTACATCCCCATCTCTCCACTTACGAAGAGGGGAATGCAAATATCTGGACATCACTGGGTTATTGTGATAGTTGTGATCTTGTGATTTTTCCCCTCTGAGCATTTCTAAGTTTGTGTTTTTTACTGCTACCTGTCATCAGTTTATCCCACAAACCTGGAAGCTTTGAAGAGCAAAGGGAACTCTTTTTGCTCCTACAGTGAATCAGTGTCCGGGGTCAGGACAGTGTCGTGGTGCTCAGAATGCCATGTAGTTTAAAGCTTTGTGTTTTAATTGTTTTAAATTATTGATTTCAGGGGTTTTTCATTATTTTCAGCTTGTGGTTCTCTGTGAGTAACTAAAACTCACATAAAACTGTGGGTGAGGTGACTTCTTTGGAACTTCAGGACTTTTCTGTACTCCTAATGGTGCAGAGGTGATAACTGAGTTCTGCTGTACACCCTGGTAGAGTGAGCGTAGTAATCACTGCCATTTAACGGAAAGTTTTCTCATATAATTTTAAAATAGTCTAATGATTTCAAAAGATGGATGTACTTCTTTAAGCTAAAGATTACATTTTGTAATTTTCTGTACCTTTTTATCAAGAATGTTTATTTGTATAACAGTAATTTTAATTCTTTAATACACTTTCAGTGTTTTAATGTTTATATTTCAAAGGTTAAAATACTCATTATTGACTTACAATGACATTCTATTAAATTTAGAATCAGAGGAAGAATTCTTTGATGCGCCCTCTAGTCCCCTGGAAGCGCCTTGTGAGTTTCTAGCTGGAGTTAAAAGTGTTCATCAAAGAAAGTTACAAAAGCAAGAGTATCGGGTTAATTTGACTCAGTTTAAAATAAGATTTGAAGTAGAAGAGGTATGTACTATTGTAAAATTACTATGGGTCATTTAAATCATTTGTTATTTCTGCTGTTTGTAGTGTATTTATAGTCTCGTCGCTAGTAGGCACTGTTGTTTTCATTCTGATTTAATCTTGATGCAGACTTGCTGTGGTATATTCACATCCCTTAAAGATAAGAATCGAGTTTAGACACGTGCATATTCATATTTTTTGAAAAAATGGTTACTTACATGCAATAGTATAGGTATACATATGTGGGGGTATAAAATTGCTCCTAAATTTTAAATATGTAATATATGTGTTTGTATGTATGTATATATCTCACGTTACACATCCATATGTATAACTTCAATGTATGTAAACATGTTTTCGTTTAACATAATGGTAGTTTCTTTCTTCTCTTTCTGCAGGTTTTGATTCAGTTGTATCACCTTGAGGAAGATTATGAACTGCCTGTGCTAGAAATTGATGTTTTAGGGTCAGGCATGGAAGTTGAAATTAGAACATTTGATTTGAAAGCAAATGCCTTTTTGAAAGAGTTCTGCTTAAAATGTCCAGAATTCTTTGGTAAGACTCTCCATTTTTAAAAAATATAGAAAAATTTATTGAATAGTTTTAAAAGCTGACACTGTAAGCTCCGGTGGTTCCATGTGTCTGACCTCTGGCTGGCATCAGGTAGGAGAAGCTGTGGGAGACCGGATACCAGCGAGTGAGGAGGGTGTCAGGCTTCTCTTTGCTGTCTGCTGCCACGGGAGCTGACTGTATCCCCAACGGGCGAGTCCTCAGTATCTGGATTATCTTCCACTAGACTCCATGTCTTTAAATTCTGTCACCACGCAAAGAGCTAGTTTCCGGCACATGAACTCTTCGGAAAAACCACATCTAAACCACAGCAAAGTTAGTTTTAAACTTTTATCTTTTAGATGGTTCTCTGGGAGGCAGGGAATGGTAAACTAGAGAAAAATGAAGATCGTTTTTGTTAAGGAAAGTTCATTAGGATTAAAATTTAAATCTACACTGAATATAGGAACAACAAAGTAGTGTGCTATTACTGCTATAAAAATGTACCACAAATTTAGTTTCTCTACGCAAAGTATAATCTTAGGGTCTCACTGGGCAAAAATCAGGGTGTCAGCAAGAGTTCTTCTGTACACAAGAGGAGGTCCTGTTTCCTCATTTATTCAGACGTTGACTAAATTCAGTTGCATATGCCTCAAATCTGTTTCCTTACTGCCTGTCAGTTAGTACTGTTTTTAATTTCTAGAGGGCTGTATTGGCCCTTGCATTGTAGTTTCTTGCATCTCAGAAGTAATGTGGAGTGTTAGACCCTCATTCTGCCATCTCTGGCCTCCTTTACTTGCTGCTTACACTTTTAAAAAGCTAGGTGATTAGATTGGACACAGTGGCTAATCCAGGATAATCACTGCTTCAGTCCATTTTGTAACATAAGGCAGCGTATTCTCAGATTTTGGAGGAACAGGGTGTAAACTTTATCAAGAGCAGTATTCTTCCTTCCAAAAACCTTTTATTTTCCAGAGTGTAGAAAATATATTGTGTATTCGTAAGAAAATATTTCTATTTCTGTGTTAGGTATTTAGGTGAGTGCTACTTATATATTTCTTTTTGAAATGAAAAGAATTTTTTCCTTGAAATGTAATTATAAATAGTAAAGGGAATTTTTTAGAAGAGTATTAGTACTTCGTTATTGTATATTGTTATCTTTAAATTACTCAGAGTACAAGATTTAGGCATTTAATTGTCCAAACAACATTGGCACAAACCTTTCTTTTTCATTTTAAAGAGAAAAAAAATGAAGCATCCAGGAATATAGCTCAGCAGCTAAGTGCTTGCCTGGCAAGCACGAGGTCCTGAATTTGATTCCTGGTACCAAAAAAAAAAAAAAAGAAAAAAAAATTTCGAAACAAGGTAGTAGGGTAACGTAGTTAACACAATACATATTGTTATCTTTGTTTTTGTTTGTTTGGTACTAGGGATCAAACTCATGACGTCATGCTTAGGGGCAAGTGCTTGAGCTGCTGAGCTAAATCCCCTGCACCTTACCTTTAAATTAGTTACTCAGAGTACAAGGTATCAGCATTTAGTAGTCTGCACAAACCTTTCTTTTCAGTGAACTATGGGAAATTAGTAGTATCTTAACTGTCTTTTATGAATTTAAATATAAATATGAAAGTAAATGTAGATATGTATATATATTTCTTTTCCTTCCCTCCTTTTCTTCATTCTTCCATCCCAGTTTCTCTTTCCTTTGGAAGTTTTGTTCCATTTTATAGTACCTGTTGTAGACTTTGGATTGTATTTACTCTTTCAGCTTTTCATACTAGGAGACAATATGATGTTTACACCTGTGTGTCTAGTTTATTTCACTTATGAGTATTGTCTTGCGTTGCATCTATCTACCTATAAAAGACTCCAATTTATCTTTCTTTATGGCTCAGTAGCACTACACTGTATAAAAAGAGTACATCTTTTTAAATTCTTTCCTCCATTGGTGGCAGTTAGTTTGTTTCCAAGATTTAGCAATTACAGACTGTGCTGCTATAAGTATAGGTAAATATAAATATACTATGATGTTAATTCTTTTAGGAAGAGACCCAGAAAGGGAGTAACTGGGTCCAACGGTACCTCCAACCCTACTTTTTTTTTGAGCAGTCTCCACACTTGATTTCCACAGTGGTTGCACCAGTCTACGCTCCCGCCACCAGTGGGGAAGGGTTTCTTTTTCCCTACAGCCCCTTCAGCATTTCTTACTGTTTAATTTCTTGGTAATAGCCATTCTTTTCAGAATGAGATGAAATCTCAGTGTTGTTTTAATTTGCATCTCTTGAATGACCAGTGATGGTGAACATTTTTTCATATATTTTATTCATTACTTGTATTCATCTGAGAAATGTATATTTATCTCAGATGCCCATTTTTGGATTGAGTCTTTAAATTTGGGAGGTCTGATTGTTTTGAGTGCGTCATGTTATTGATAGTAGCCCTTTGAGGAATAAATGATAAACTTTTCCCCCATTGTGAGTTGTCTCTTCACTCTTTGTGGTTTTTTCTGCTGTGCAAAAGCTTTTTAATAAGATGAGATCCCAGTTGTTAATTCTTTGTGATAGTTTCTGTGCGATTGAGGTTTTATTTATAAAATCTTTGCCTACACCATTGTCTTCAAGAGATTTATCTATTCTGTCTTCTAGCAGATTTTGTATTTCTGTTTTAATATTTAGATCTTTGATCCATTTGGAATTTAGGTTAGTACATAGTAAAAAATATGTGTCCAATTTTAATCTTCTGCATGTGCGGAGCCAGTTTTTGCAGCACCATTTATTAAAGAGGCTGTCTTTCTTCCAGTGAATGTGTTGGGCACCTTTGTCAAAGATAAAGTGACTTGAGTATGTCTGGAGTTGTTTCTGCATATTCTAATCTGTTCCACTGATCCTCAGGTCTTTTTTGCCAGTATCATGTTTTTTATAAAAATCACTGTAGCTTTATAGTATAATTTCAAATCATGGATTGTGATGCTCCCTGCCTTGCCTTTGTTGCCTAGAATTGCCTTTGATAGTCTAGGTCTCCCAGTTACAAATGAGTTTTAGAACTGTATTCTGTAATTCTGAGATATGGTATTAGAATTTTGATCATAATTGCATTAATTTTATGTAATAGTTTTGAAAGTCAGTTATTTTCACTACAGTGGTTCTTCTTACTCAAGTCCAAGTGATATTGATAGCTTTCTATTTTTGGACATCCTCGTAAGTCTTTTTTTTTTTTTTTTTTTTGCACTGGGGATCGAACTCGACCTTGTGCTTGCAATGCTGAGCTAAATCCTCTGTCCTTCAATTTCTGTTTCTAGACGACTGTAGTTTTAAATGTAGAGGTTTTTTACATTCTTCATTAGATTGATTTCTAGGTACTTCATATTTTTGGACGCTACTGTGAAAGGTGTTGTTTCCCTGATTTCTCTCTCAGTGAGTTGTTATGTACCGTAATGCTATACAGTTTTGAGGGTTCACTATGTGTCCAGCTATGCTACTGAATTTGCTCATTAAATCTAACAGTTTCTTAATGGAGTTTTTGAGGTCTTCTAGGTAGAATATCATGTCATCTGTAAATAGTGATAATTTAACTTCTTCCTTTCATATCTTTATTCCTTGTATTTCATTTTCTTGTCTAATTATTCTGGTTAATTACTCTGGTTTGTGTTGAATAAAAGTGGACACAGTGGACGTCGTTGTCTTGTTCCTGATTTTAGAGACAAAGTTTTCAGTTTTCATTTCAGTTTTGTTCGTTTGTTGGCTGTTGGTTTGTCATAGATGGCTTTTATCAGATTAAGACCATCTATTCCAATTTTCTATAGGGTTTTTATATGAATGGGTGCTGGATATTTTTGTAAGTTTTTTCTGTGTCTGTTGAGATGATCATATGATTTTTATCCTTGGCTCTGTTAATATGGTGTATTACATTTATTGATTTATGTATGTTGAACCATCCCTGCATCCCTGGGATGAGTCCCACTTGGTCATGGTATATAATCTTCTTGATGATTTGCTGCATTCTGCTTGCTAGTATTTTACAGAAGATTTTTGCATCTGTGTTCATTAGGGAGATTGGCCTGTAATTCTGTTTCTTATTTGGTTCTTCTCTGGTTTTGGCATGAGTGTAATGTTTGCTTGCAGGAATGAATTCGGGAGTACTATTTTCCTTTCAGTTTAATTAAAGAGTTTGCGGAGTAGTGATGTTAGGTCTTCTCTAAATTTCTTGTAGAATTCAGAAGTGAATCCATCAGGGCCTGAACTTTTCTTTGTTGGTAGGTTTTTAATTGCATCTTCAATTTCATTGATTGGTATTGGCTTACTTAAAATTTTTATATCTACTTGATTCAGCTTTGGTAATTCACATGTATCTAGTAATCTGTCCCATTTGTTCTGCATTTTCAATCTTACTGGAATACAAGTTTTCCAAGTAGTTATTGATGATCTTCTGAATTTCTACAGGGTCCATTGAGATTTCACCATTTTCATTTCCAATTGCATGAATTTGAGTCTTAGTTTGGTAAGTTTGAATAAGGGTTTGTTGATTTTTTTTTTTTTTTTTTTTTACTCTTTCAAGGGAACAACTCTTCTATTCATTGATTCTTATTTTTTGCTTTTTTTTGTCTTCGGTGTACTAATTTCTGCTGTGATCTTTATAGTTTCCTCCTTCGTATGAGCTTTTGGCTTAGCCTGCTCTTTTTTCTATAGCTTTGAGGTTCACCATTAAGTTGTTTATTTGTGCCTGCTCTGTTTTCCTGATATGAGTCACTTGGTGTAAATTTCTCTCTTAGCATTCCTTTCATTGTATCCCCTTAAGTTGTATTGTCATTATCATTCAATTATAGAAACTGTCTAATTTCTTCTTCAATTTCATCTGTGACCCACTGGTTATGCAGAAGGGGTGCTATTTAATTGCCACTTGTTTATGAAGTTCTTTGGCAATTGATTTCCAATTCCATTGACACTATGGTCAAATAATATACATGAGATAATTTCGGTTCCTTTGCATTAACTTAATCATGTTCTCTGAGCTAGTATTTGCTCTGATTTGGAGAATAACCTGTGTGCAGTTGAGAAAAATATGTTCTGATGTTCTGGAGTGGCACGCTGTATAGATATCTGCTACGTCCGTTTGTTCAAAAGTTATTTTAGTTCTAAATTTTCAGTACCAGGGATCGAACTCACGACTGCCTGCTTGCAAGGCAGGTGCTTATGCCGCTGAGCTAAATCCCCAGCCCCTTCAGTTCTAAATTTTTATTTATTTATTTATTTTTTGTCTAGTTGATCTATCTGTGACAGTGTGGATATTGAGATCTCACAATACAATTGTGTTAGTGCTTATTTGATTTTTCATGACGTTAATATTTGTTTTATATAGCCACGTGCACTGGTATTGGTTGCATAATTTCTGCTGTGATCTTTAAGGTTTCCTCCCTCATATGAGCTTTTGGCTTAGCCTGCTCTTTTTTCTATAGCTTTGAGGTTCACCATTAAGTTGTTTATTTGTGTCTCCTTTCCCTCTTTTCTTTGGTCTCCCAGACCCCATCCCACTTATAAAAGATCTGTCTTCCAAATTTCTTTTTCTCAGATTTTGTTTTGCTTTTTGTTTATATTTAAGAGAAACCATAAACACATAAGCTTGTGTGTCTGATTTATTTCACTTAACATTTTTTCCAGGTGAATCCAGTTTCCTACAAATGTATTGAATTCATCCTTCTTTATAGTTGAGTAGTACTCTGTGATCTACAGATACGTCATTTTCTTTATCCATTTCATGTGTCAGTGAACTTGAAGGCTGCTTCCAGGAATTAACTGTTATGAATTGTGGTGCTATAAATATTAGTATGCATGTATCACTGTATTCTTATATCTTAAGCTCTTATTTGGAGATAACTGGGTCAAATTAATTTATAGTTTTAGTCATTTGGGAAATTTCCATACTGATAACCATAATAGGTTAGACTACTTTACATTTATTTCCACCAACAGTGTACAAGGATTCCTTTTTCACTGTAGCCATTCCAGTATTTGTTATTGTTTGATTTCTTGATGATGGCCATTTCTGTTGTAAGAGGAAATCTAAGAGGAAATTGTAGTGTTGCTTTAATTTATATTTGTCTAATGGCCAGAAATGTTGAAGATTTTTTCATATGTTCATTGGCCACTTACACTTCTGAGAAGTGTCAGTTTCACTTGCTCATTTTTTGGCTGAGTCTTTTTATTTTGGTAGTGTTTTAATTCTTATTTTTGTAGTTCTTTGCTTATGGTAGATATTAGTCCTGTGTCAGAAGAACAGCAATGAAAAATTCTTTTCATTATGTAGGTCATCTCTTCACTCTCTTTTTCTGTTGCTGTGGATATAATTCTATTTTTTAATTGGCTATAATTCTATTTGTTGATTCTTCTTGTGTAATTGGAGTTCTGTTCAGAAAGTCCTAGCTTGTCTGACTTCAAGAATATTTTCCTATTTTGTCTTCCAGTAGGTTGTGTTTTTATTTTAACATTTAGATGTTTGACCCATTTTGCTTCCGGTTAGTACATAGTGAGAGATGAGTCCATTGCAGCTTTGTATGTGAAGTCAGGTATTATGATACCTCTTGGTTTGGTCTTGTGGTCCTAGGTTACTTTTTGCTACTTGTTACCCAAAATTGCTGTATCTTTTCTGCATCAATATGAATTTTAGGATTTTTTGCTGTAATTATGTGAGGAAGGTTGATTGGAATTGTGTTAAATCTGTAAGTTTTAGAGTTATGACCATTTTGAAAATAATTGGTTCCACCTATCCAGAAATGGGGAACATCTTTTCATTTTTCTGATGTCCTCTTCAGTCTCCTTTTTGGAGTACTGGAGGGTACTTTGTAGAAGTCTTTTACTTCCTTTGTTAACTCCTAAATACTTAATTTTTCTTGGTAATACTGTGAATAGTACTGTTTTCCTAATTTCGTTCTGTCTTCATTATTGGTGTATAGGAACACTTGATTTGGGAGGTTTATTTTGTATCCTGCTACATTGCTTTAATTAGTTACTAACTTAAAATCTTTTGGTAGAATTTTTTGAGGCTGCTATGTACAGGATTATGTTATCTGCAAATAATGACTTCTTCCTTTCCTATACTTTATTTCTGTTGTCTGATTGCTCTGGCTAATGTTTAATTACCATGTTAAATAGAAATGATTGTAGTAGCCATCCTTGTTTGTTCTTGATTTGAGAGGGAAAGCTTTCAGCTTTTGCACATTTAATATGATGTTGACCATTCAAGTGTCATAAATGGCTTTCATCAGAGCCATATAAGGCCCTGGCTCTTCAACATTTTTCATCATGAATGGATATTGGGTCTTATCAAAATCTTTTTATGCATCTTTTGATATGATCATGTGATTTTTTTGGTCCTTCCATTTATGTGGCATATTACATTTATTGATTTGTGTGTGCTGGTTTCAGCAGCCCATACACATTTATTGATTTGTGTGTATTGAATCATCCTTGCACACCTGGAATGAAATCTGCTTGGTTTCATGATCTTTTAAATGATATGTTGCATTCTGTTTGTCAATAGCGTACTGAGAATTTTTGCTCCTTTGTTCACTAAGGAGATTGGTAGTTTGGTTTTCTGATTGACTCTTTGTCTTATATGGGGGTGGGAGTAAAGTTGGCTTCCAGAAATGAGTTTGGATGCACTCCCTCATTTTCAGTTTCATTGAAGAACTTGAGGATTGTTGGTATGGCATCCTTAGAGGTCTTGTAGAATTTAGCAGTGAATCCATCAGATCTAATCTTTTCTTAAATTGGTAGGTTTTTTATTACAGCTTCAATTTCATTGCTTGTGATTGACGTGTTAAGAATTTTTAAATTTTCTTGGTGTAGATTAGGTAATTCATATGACTGTAGAAATCTGTCCATTTCTTCATGATTTTCCAATTTGTTGGAATGGTCTTTTTCAGTAGATACTGTATTGTGGATTTCAGTGGTCCATTGTGATTTCACCACTTTTATTTCTAGTTTTATTTCTGAGACTTTTTCTTTTATAGTAAGTTTGGTGAAGGGTTTATATATTTTATGTTTTCGAAGAACAAGTTCTTTGATTCATTGATACTTCTTAATAATTTGTTAGTCTCAATTCCATTAATTTCTACTCTGATCTTCATGGTTTCCTCCCTTAAATTTGGTTTCGATTTAGATTGTTTTTCACGTACCTTGAGATTCATCATTAAGAGATTTATTTGAGCTTGCTCTATTTTTCTAATGTGAGCATTGCTTGCAGTAAGCTTCCCTCTTAGGATCACTTTCATTGGGTTCTGGCATTGTCTTTTGAGTCTAGAAATTGTTTACTTTATTCTTTGATTTCATTATGACCTGTTGTGGGTTTAGAAGTATGTGACTAGAATGTCAGTTGTTTGTAAATTTTCTGTGGTTTTTCCCTGTAATTTTTAGTTTCAGTGCACGGTGGTCTGATAAGTGGGGTGGTTTTGATTCTTTCAAATTTATTTATGCAGACTTTGTGGAGTAGTACATAGTCTGTTTTTGAGAAAGTGCTGTGTGCTGCCGAAAAGAATGTTTATTCTGTTCTTACTGGATAGGACGTTGGAGATCCCTGTTAAATCCATTGGTTCAGAATATAGTTCAGCCCTGGTATTTTCTCATTGATAAATTTTGTTTAGTTTAGTTTTTCTTTTGGTAAAAATGTGGTGTTGAGGTTAGTCACTGTGATTCTATTGGTGTTTATTTGATTTTTTTGTGTCCAATATCTGTTTTATGAAGATATGTGTTCTAACATTTAGTGCATATATGTTTATGAGTGTTATTTCTTCCTGTTGGAATATTCTTTTAACTAGCATTTAACGTTCATTGTTAGCTTGAGATTGACTTTGTTTGAGAGTAATGTTTCTACCCCTGCTTATATTTTCAGGTTCCTCATGCATGAAGTATTGCTTTTTAATTATGGTTTTTAGTCTGTGAATATCTTTTTAGATTAGATGTGTTTCTTGAATGCAACAGAAAATTGGATTCCTTTTTTCAATCCAGTCTTCCAGTGTCTGTCTTTTATTGGGGAGTTGAGGACATTAATGTTGAGAATTGTGGAGATTTCTTCTTTTTTTTTGTTTATCCACTTTCATGAATTCTTTGTGAGTTTCTGGATATTGGCTTTGTCATCTGTGCCATGGATATTGTTGAGTATATTTCCCTCTTTGTGTAGTATTGTTCTCCAACTGTATTGAAATCAAGTTTTGCTGGCTTTCTTAACCTGGGTTGGAAGATGTTTGCTTTTAGGATTTAAAATACTTGAGTCCAGATTCTCCTTGATTTTAGAAAGTTTTGGTTGGGAAGTCTGCTATAATCTTAATGAATTTGCCCTGTATTTTTCCTTTTCTCTGACAGCTTTTAAGGTCCTGCTTTTGTCTGTTGTTGGACAGTCTTGAATCTTGAGTAAGTAGTGTGATAGGTAGCTTCTGTTTTCATCATAGATGGTGGGTGTCCTGCAAGCCTTGCGTACCTGTGTGTTCCCTCAGACTTGAAAAGTTTCTGTTAACAATTTTTGTGCACAATGTTTTATTCCACATATGATGCCTTGTAGTTTTTCTCTAACTCAGTTAGCTTGGGTTGATCATCTTAGTATTGTCTGTTAGCTGTTGGATGCATTTTTCTTGTTCTCTACAGTGTTAATGCTTCTCTTCAGGCTGATTGTGTTTTTCTAGCTAGTTCTGTGACCTAGGGAATGAATTATTTTTAGGCAGTTTCATTCCTAAAAATTATTCTGGATTTTCTTTTGATAGTTTCTAGATTTTCTTATCTTCCCTCCTGTTACGGTTATGAAGATGTGGTACTTTAGTGTGGAGGTATATGGGAAGGGAATGGAATTAGGATAGGAAAGTACATTTAGAGTTTAAAATATAAAGATGGAACCTGACTAGATAAGGTAGAATCCAGGGCCTAGAACTGATACTAGTACTATCTGGATTTATTTTCTGTTAGTTTTCCTACCAAAACATTTCAAAATTATTTTTAGATGAAAATAAAAAACCAGTATATTTGGTCACAACACTGGATAACACAGTGGAAGACCTGTTAACACTGGAGTATGTGAAGGTAAGCACTTCCATTCATATCAGCTATAGGTAAGTGTGCTCCTGAAATTTTTAAAAGTTTTATAATTTTAAGAATAGTTTGTCTAATCTTTATTCTGATGTACTCTCAGTAACTTGTGACACTTTATCTCTGGTCATTCTGTATCAAATAGTTGTGATTTAGAAGTATTCAGTATGGCAAAATAAGTAGCTTGGGTTCCATATAGAGACCTGTAGTTTAAACCCTCTCTCCCCAACATACACACAGATACACATGTCAGACTCCAGGGTATTGAGAGGAAGAAAGTATTTTGGTCTCAGTGGAATTTGTGCAGGATATGGATTTTACTCCATTTTCTGCCATTGTCTGAAATTACCTGATTTTCCTAGTTTTAGATTGTGTTCCAGTTGTACTAATTGACATCATTATCTCATCTGTGAAGTTTTTCACATGCATGGTCTATGATCTTTTTTGTGGACATTATTTTTATGTGTTACATCATGTTAGTTATTTTACCATCAGAATAGTGCCAGAAGATCATTTTTCACTTTTAAGATCATTTTTCCTATTATTGATATAAACACCTTGAAATTCTTGTTATATTTGTATTAGCTTTTCAATTACAAAATTGTTCTACATCTAAAGAAAATGTCACGCAATAGACTGTTGCTCAGATGGGATGAACTTTTCATTTGTAACAACACGGATGAATCCAGAGACTATTGTGCTGAGTGAAATAATCCAAGCACAGAAACACAGTTACTATACAAATCTCATTTATGTGTAGAATCAATAAAGTTGAACTCACAGAAGCAGAGGAATGAGAGCCACCAGCAGCTGAGGGTCTTGGTAGGAAGGGATGGATAAAAGATTGCATTGTAGGAAATGCACTGGAAGAATATATTTTGAGATCTATTCCACAGCAAGATGACTATATTTAAAAATACATATTTCAAAATAGTACATTTTAAATGTCGCGCTACAAAAATGATAGATGTGATGATGTTAGGATTATTTAATCATTCATGTTATATAATTGTATCAAAACAACACATGCTATCCTGTGTATAAAGAAACACAGTTACGGTTTATCAATGAAAAATAATGTAATAAATTTTTGAGAAAGAAAAACAGTATTTGGACACTTCATTGACAATTCTGGCACAAATTTTGTTTTCAAAGTCAGAATAATTAGCATACAGAGCTCTTGTTGGTCAAATGATTGATTTCTACACTTGATATTTTCTTCTGTTTCTTCTGTTCATAATAACAATGTTAGGATGTAAGATTTACTAAATCTTTGCTATGTTACAGAAACAAATGAAATTTGTTTTGGTAAAGCAGTTGCTTTGTTCTAGTGAAGTAATTGCTTGTTAAAGTAACTATATGTGCGTTCCTGTATATATAATGTATAACGTACGTATGTAAAACTAAACATATAGACTTACTGTGTATAATATAGTTACTTTATATACATGCATTACCCACATATCTGGAATAATAATATAATGTATTTAGGACTGTCATATATGGTATATGCATGTGTCTTCCTATGATGTTCTAATAGATTTGTTTTCTTTTTGGATAGGCTGAAAAAAATGCACCTAACTTAAAAAGTACCTATGGCAGTGTTTTACAGCTGATCAAGGTACAAGTAGATGTTAATTCGTGTTTTCATTTGAGTATCAAATTAAGTACTGTCATGAAAATTATAGGTGGAATGCAAGATGCTTGAGGATTAAAGCAGTATCAGAAACAGTATTTTGTCCTAACCTTGTTTTTATGTTCTGCTGAGGATCAAAGCCTGAACTTTTATGTGCTAGGCAATCACTCTACTACGTCACTGAACTGTATCCTTAATCCAGATCATATCCTTTATCTGAGTGTTAGTCAGTTTCCTGTTGCTGGGTAAATGTGTGGCATCTGCTGTTTTGAAGAGTTATTTTGCTCGCAATTTTAGATGGTCAGTCTCCAGTTGGCTGGCTCCAAGGCAGCAGAGCTGCTCACACTGCTGCAGGGAGAAAAATGGGAGCAGCTAGGGGCAAGACTACAGCTGTTTAGATAAAGCTGCAGTGGACTGCCTCTTCAAGCAAGCCCCACCTCCAAATAGCACATGAACTCCTCAGTAGATTCATCTGCTAATGAGTGCAGTGGTCCCGTGATCAGAAACTTTCTGAAAGCCCATGTTGGGACATGTTGAGAATTCAGGGGGATGTTTTAGATCTAAACTGTGACAGTATTATAAAATGTGGTTTCTAGTTTGCTTGTTTTGTCTTTTTGAGACAAGAGTTTCACTATGCAGATGAGGCCTTGAACTCACTTTGTAGTCCAGGCTGGCTTTGAACTCAACAGTGATCCTCTGGCCTTAGTCTCCTGAGTGCTGAAATTACAGGCACGCAGTCATGTCAAGTCACAATGTAGTGTCTTACAGAGACTAGACACGTTTTATTAACCTGTTAATTAACATCTACTTTGTTCCTTAGGTGAATTTTTCCTCTTTGGATATTCATTTACATACTGAAGCACTTCTAAATACAATAAATTACTTTAATAAAATCCTTCCACCCTCCATGGGAACATCAGCCTCAGTGTCTACTGTGGAGACTGAAGACAAAGGAGAAATCATTAAAAAATTAGGTATAGTTTTAAAAAATTCTAATTCAAAAATTTTTTGCCAAGTGGATTGGTAAATTTAGACATGAATTTATTGAGCTACACTGTTGACCCTAGAATTCTGTTGCTAGACTAGGAATGGTGATTCTTTCAGAGACTGAGTACCAATCTGAAAAGACCCATTTATTTATTGCAGTGTGTCAACATTGCAGTTAAACCTGAATATTGAGATTTTCATTTAGAAAAACAACTATACATTAACATCTTTTGTCTTAAAAGAAAAAGAAAATTTGTCTTAATACCTAAACAAGTCATTAAATTCCAGGCTAATTTTAGGAATTTGTGGTCAGGGAAACTGAATACTGTGAAAGAAAAATTTTCTGTTATGTAACTGGTTTTACTTGAAGATGATACAGAAATATTTATTTAGATTAAAATTCATACATTTATTAACATTTATATTAGAATAGTACAACAAAATTTGAGTAATATCATAATATATTTTTCTGTTCTGTCAGAGAACATGTTAAACATGAAGAAACTTGAAATTTGAAATACTGCAAAATCAGAAATTTTCGAGTGTCACATTTGTACTAAAAACATTTGGATTTTGTAGCATTTCAGGTTTTGGACCTTTGTATGCTCAATGTATTACTTCTTAAAATGAATGGACATCTCCTACTTAATCTTTGGATCATAAAAGATTTAGGATTATGCAGCTATAGTTCTTAGTTCCACATGTTCAGTCTTCTCTAGCAACACAGTTTTGTTTTGCCATTTCATTTTTGTTTTCATTAGAAGTTCTGATTCAGTAGGGAGTATATTTGCTTTCATTTGAATTGCAAATCAGATTTTCATTGTCATCATCATGATAAATAATACTATGTGGGGTGATATTTCATTTACTTTGTAAGTCTAGTGTAGTAACTACTACAAATTTTCCCTGATCTTTTACCATATGATTTTTTTTGTAGCTTTCAAGCAATCCATGAATGAAGATATTATTACATTGCAGATTTTTGCAGAATTGTCATGTTTACAGATTTTTATTCAAGAACAGAAACGTAACATTTCTGAAATTAAGATTGAAGGTAATAAAGTTTCATAAAAAATAAATTTAAAACTATTAAATAAAAGTAAAAGCAATTACTGATTCTTTTGTTTCTTTAGGGCTTGATTCTGAGGTGATTATGAGGCCTTCAGTAACTGAAATAAATGCAAAGCTAAGAAATATAATTGTTTTGGATTCAGATACAATGGCTGTATACAAAAAGGTATGTATTTAGGTGAGCAGAAGTGGAATTCAGAAGATGAGTGAGGTTCATATTTCAACTCCCCACAATGAATATCATCATTCGTGCAAACATGTACAACACAAATTGTTTCAGAAAGTAAGAATTTTTTTATGGTTAATTAATGCATCTTTAACTGTGGTTATCCAGTTGGTTGTCACATTTTAGCAATGTGGCTTATTTTATACTTGGTTTTCTTCATTTTACTTTAGGACAGAGGAGGTTGCAGCTTTATTGGTCATTGACTTGGTTTATTTCAGCTACAGGAGGAGAAAAAGACACCAAAAATCCCCACATTTCCTTAAGAATTTCAAATACATTATATCATTACTACCTATTTGCACATTGTAACATATATTTCTTGTAGTTATTACCAAAAAATGTATAAACAAGCTTTATTTGCATTTCTTCTCCACCAGTTGGCTTCGTTTACTGAGCTTTTTAAAAGACCTATGCAAATCTCACATTTTAAAATTGGATCCAAAGCACCAAATATAACCCAAATCTCTGGAATATTTAATAAATATTTGTATTCACATGGATCGTTTTCTATACAGTGATGCATATTTTAAAGTGTTTTTGTCATATTCAGTATTTTAACTTTCAGTGTTTTTTTTAACTGAACAGTAAAAATTACCTATTCATCCAGAGTAAATAATCCTACTGCTGTGGTATATTACTTTAATACATTTTATTTTATGAAGAGTGTATATTTTATTTTTAAAATTAAATTTATTGGTACGTTTTAGATATACACAACGATCACATCCCCTCACCCTAGAGAATTTGTACTTATACATGGTATATCTTGATTCTCTCCTCTTTTTTCCCGTTCCTCTAGTGTACCTTCAACCCCTCTTCCTGTCCCTAACTTACAAAAGCTTTGTTTCCATTTTTTCTTTTCTCTTCCTTCCTTTCCCCTGCCCTGGTTCTTCCCATTTGAACTTTTTTTTTTTTTAACTCTTTCTCATTATGTGTTATACATTTTGGTCCTTATTTACACTTTTGATTTCTCATTTTTTAAATTCATCTTGTTTGTTTGTTTGTTTGTTTTTTGTACAAGGGATCGAACTCGCACTTGCCCGGAAGGCAGAGCCGCTGAGCTAAATCCCCAGCCCATGATTTCTCATTTTTAAAAATGTGCTATTGTTGAAAATTGTTTAAAATTCAGTCAATTCTGATAGTTAATAAATTAGTTGTTAATGGCCTGCTTACTTATCTTTAAACTAGAACAACCCAGCCTCACATGTAGGTGCAGCCTACCTCTGCCACTGGAAATTTTGTCTTGTTTTTAAATGATTCATAGACCTCCAAACTGATGTGTGTCTTGAACTCATCTGGGAAGAATGCTAGAGAACTGGCTAGCTCTTAGAGCTCCATCCTTTTTTCCCTCCAAATACAGTGCCTGGCTCTAGGAGTGCTGCTAGGGAAAAGAGGCTAACCACGTGAAATAGCTTTGTGGTCTATAAATACCCATGTATTTATGGAAGGATTCCAGAACCTAGCACAGTGCCTTGTCAGTAGAAAAGTAATAGGAAAGTGCATGGGTGCTTTAGCTTGGTGTTTAAGACATCTGTACAAAAAGATGAGCTGATACTTGTTGCCCACCTGTCACAAAGTTCTGTCCTTAATAGAGATAAAGACAGTGTAATGATCGATCACATCTTTGCCAACACTGTCATCATCATATGTGCCTTTCACTGCTGCTGCTCATTGCAGACTCTCTTGCTCGTGCTATAATTTGTACCATCATAGTTTTACAACTGTCTTTGAGACCTTTTTTTTGGTGGGATTGGTTTGCGACAGGGTTTGTTTCACTATAATTTAGGCCAGTTTTGAACTCACGATGTAGCCAAGGTTCTCTTGAATTTGTGATGATCTTCTTGCCTCAGCCTATAGCTGTGCATTATCACACCCTGCTTATCTGCCTTTTAATGATACATGGGAAGACATTTATTTTCATTTGTAAGATGCTCTGTTAATGAATTTTTTAAATTTCCTGTAAGAGCGTGACTATTTAAAGGTGAATTGATATACTTCATTAATTTTATCACCATCAGTTATGTAAAATTTTAAGGTTTATTTTACCTTGATGATTTTAGTAATTTTATCTTTTATTTTCTCAAATTAGGTAAAAAGAAAAGTAAATGTTTTAAAGATGGTTTAAAGTGATTTAAGATTTCAGACTTGATAGTTCCTGTGTTATCTTTGTAAGTTTTCAGACTTGATAGTTCCTGTGTTATCTTTGTAAAGTAAAAGGGAATGTATCCTTACAAAGTATTTCTAGGATCAGTACAGAAATAGGTTATTTATCTAAAAAAGGAAGCTGTTAAGGAGACAAAGGACAATTATTTGGAAAAAGACATAACATCACATGGAAAATTCAAGCATTCATACCTGGTGCATGGGTTTTAGGTCAGGCTTAGGTGTTTGTTTTTGTTTTGTTTTGTTTCCTCTTAGTTTTGCTCCTTTTTGTTGTGTGAATCTCTGAACATCTAGTCATATATTCCTTTTCTTTGTTTGTAAAATCAGGATTATAGTATCTCCTAATTAATACTCCTGGGACAAAGTGTTTCAGCGGGAGGCTAGTAAGTACCTTTAAAAATATTCTTTTGGGGCTGGGGATTTAGCTCAGCGGCATAAGCTCCTGCCTTGCAAGCAGGCAGTCATGAGTTTGATCCCTAGTACCGATAAAAAGGAAAAAGACCAAAAAAAAAAATTATTTTATTTTCTTCTTCAAATACTCTGAACCTCAAAATACATTTCAGAAAGCTTGAGATTTTTTTTTTTACAAATTATTTTTACAGACACTTACGAATATAGCTGTTACACAGTTAAGAGAGTTCTTTGAACTGTATGATTAGTGGTTGAAGGATAGATGTTTCGTTTCTGGTTATAAAATAGGTTTTATGGACTAGAAGCTTTTAGAAAATTGGATAGGTAATTCTTGAATAATGAAGCATGAATAGAATGTTACACTGGAAATATTAAGAGAATATTAAGAATTTAGATTAGAAAAACTTGAAGTACTCATTGAGTCAGGAAATCAGCATTTGGACTTTGTCAAAAAAAGAAGCACAAAACTCATTTAGCTGGTAATCTTGATGATATGATGATCAACTGATTTTTATATAAAAAGCAAAGAATCTTACATTTTGTTATTATGGCTTATTTAGCATAAGAGTTCTAAAAAATAAAACAAACCCATGACTCAGGAATAAGGAACAAGAAGTTTTCCATAAGCCATTGTTTGATTTTATTGCTTTATTTTTACTTTAAAAATCATAATGTGTGGTGCATTTAGGAAGTAAATTTTAAACTTTTAATTTCTCAATCTAGAAAATAAAGCCCACAGAACTAAAAGTATCTACTTAAAGGTATTCAGTACTTAGGCTATGTTAGATCCCTAATATAGCCCAGTTTATTACTTACTTCTCAGTAATTTCTTCTTGTGAACACAAGGTTAAAAGTTCAGTTTTCAGCGTGCTAAACTGAAGTCTGCTTCTATCTTTTTGTCTCATTGGCATTTCCCTTCCTGTTTTTCTTGGCTTTGATGCAAATTTGCATGATTTTTCAATGAACAACCTTTTTCAGTAGTTCTCTACTTTCAAGGAACCAGAGAGGGTAAGCTTTTTACTCTGTGTGAGCTTTATACTCATTTGCCATGATACACAGCATCATCCCATGCATGTGTTTAGGTTTCTTGATCTACTGAGCCCATCACTGTTCCACATTGGAGACCTTGGATCTGTTAACTATTGGAGCAGCATCCTCCACTTCACCATGCTATCTGAAAAGTACTGACCTTACTTGGATGTGAAAGGTGAAAATGATTCTAGCTTACCCGATGTTCTGATGACATAATATAGTAATTTAATTTCTGTCATCCTTATAAAAAATTGGCTTGAAAGTGAAGGTTTTAAACAGTCCAGTTTTTAATGCTGTTTAATTCTGGATAATAAATACACAAGTATGTTTAATTTTTTAGTTTTCTGTCTTCATTGTCAGGTAAATACTGGCTTTGTAAGATGAGTTAAGGAGTGCTTTCTTCTCTTCTTCTGGAAACATTATATAAAATTGGAATTATTTTTTCCTTAAATGTTTGTGTAATTCATCAGTGAGGGTACTTGTTTGTGTATTGTTGATGCGGAAGTGCAATTTCATTTTTGCCCCATATAGCAGTTTATTTTTTCATTATCATTTACTGAAGTAGCATTTGTTTAATCATGGTAAGCCCTATTCAGATTAAAATTTCATTTTTTAGGGACAAAGAAAATGAAGCACCTAACAGTTACCACTCTATCACTCAGCGCAAAGGGCTTCATGTGACAGCTTAACTGTGAGAACCAGGCATTTGGGCTCTTCAGTCTACACTCGGCATCATTTTCTGCTGCCTCGCATTTCCATACTACCTGTATCAAACGGGATTTTTTTTTTTTCTGTTTTAAAAATTCTCTTCCAACTTGCTTTTGTCAGTAATATCTCACCTGAATTTAGAACTTTGTGTTTACATATAAATTTTAGAATCATCTTATTAGGTCAACAAAGAAAATTTACTGATGTTTCATCTTTAAAGTATAAAGAATCATTAATGTCATCATATATCTAGTGAATGCTTTTATTTCCTTCATTGTCTCACAGTTTTTTGTTTTTGTTTTTGTGGGGGGTTTTTTTGTTTTTGTTTTTGAGACAAGAGTCTCACTAGTTCAAAACTGGTCTTGCATTCACCATGTAGCCCCGGCTAACCTCAAACTTAGCAGTGATCCACCTACCTTCACCTCCTGAGTGCAGGGATTACAGGCCTGTGCTACCACACCTAACTTTGACAATTTTTAAAAATTTTTTTGGATGAGGACCTACAAGGTGCATTTCCCTGATAACGCTGCTTATTGCAGTGTTTTATTCTATCAGTATTCTTTAATCAATCTCCTGCACATTCTCTTTTGCATACGTTTGTTACTATCGTATTCCTTAGACTTTTTTAAGAGCTTGGATTTTAAATCTTGGATCTTGGATCTTATATCTTGTTTTCTGTAAATTGAGAGTTAAATCTCAGGACACAATGAAATTTAGAGCTGTTTGTGGAGAAGAGCAAATTACTTCTTAACTTAAATAAATTTGTGATGTGGTTATTTCAGTAAGAGTTGCAATATGACAGTATTCTTGCTGAAACATTTCTTTATCAGATTAAATACTTCATCAGTGTATGCTGATTTTTCTTCTCACAGGATCATTCTCTTAAAAAATTACTAGGCTAGACTTGAAGCACAGAATTTCCTAGGCATTACTGCCACATGTCTTCTGACCTATGATTTTCCAAAGAACTTTGTCATTCTGCCTAAATATTTAGATCTGTTTGAAAACTTTGTATGGGTTAGACTGTGGACACATACACATCTGGCCCCGCATCCTGAAAGTATCTGAAGTTTTCTTTTTTTTCCTTTTAGGATAATCTGCTTTGTTAACAAGTATTATAAGACAAACATAAGCCTGACACACTAGATACAAGCCAGTTGGTTGAAGGCTGTGAAGGACTTGGCACTAAATGTATAAGCTTTTAGTTACTCATTTTGTACTGTGGTGTTTTGTTTTCTTTTTACCTGTACCTGGTAGGTCTAGGCCTTAGCTCTCTGCTCTGAACTGTTTTGAGCAAATCTCTATAGTTAGGTGCAGAGAGGGATAGTCCTACTCATCTGATTAGCAGAGAATGTTTCGATTTTTTTCCTAACAGATTTTGGACTATTACAATCAACAAAGGTACAAAACTCCATGGAATGCATAATCAGTAATATAAAACTATTAAAGAGTGGTGAGTGCTTTTAAAATGCTGGTTTGGGAACATTTGGAAAATGTGATGCATAAGGATCATTTTAGGATTATCAAGAAATACCTATTTGCAGAGGAAAGGTTTGAAACTAGTTGTCTTGAATACTTTTTCTCATTGAGACAAAATACTACATGCCTGAAGTGAAGCAGGAAAAGGTTTATGTAGTTTACAGTTTTTGGAGGTGTCAGTCTGTACTCAGCTGGCTCCAGGGCAGAGTGGTGTGGCAGAGGGGCAGCCATTCATGACAGCCGAAGAGACAAGAGCGAAAAGGGCAAAAGAGGGAAACTGCCTCCTTCTCTCCTTTGTGCTGTATGCTGGCTCCCGAGGCCTCCGGGCGGGTGCCTCATTCGCACCACCAATCCCAGCACTAGACACAAACCAGTCACAGACAATTCAGCCACCTCCATGACAGCGTGAGGCTTGAGGGGGCACCCAGACACAAACCATAACAGTACATAATTCAGAGTGAATTATGGATTCAAGCCTTGTGGAAAGAACGGGTAGAAGAAATAGCAGCCCTAAAAGGAATGTTCTTGGCATATTTGGAAGGTTGTAAGGTGCTGGTAATTCTTACATAGTATTCTTTATGTTAGGTATTTTGTATTACTTTGTTTGATAGCTTTTGTGTTTTACTTTTTAAGGTTACCTTTATTGAGCTATAATTTCCTACAGTAAGACTTACACTATTTGTGCAGAGTTCTGAGTTTTGGCACACGTATATAAGCACACATAGTTGGGTAACTTCAAACACCTTCAGACCCTGAAGCAGAAATGGGGAACCCTGACTCTTCCTACCCGTGCTACAGATTACAGGTCCACTGACATCCATCAGAGAAAAATAATTTTGAAGGGACATTAACAGGAGGCATAATGAGATTTTTTAGACAAAATTTTTAAAGTACACACAGAAAGAGTATTAGCCTTCAAGAGAAAGACACTGCGTCAAGGTGAGTATATTTACACTTGTTCAGGGGCAGAAATTTGAATAAAAGGGGTTAACAGAAAAGGGATTTAACTTGCACATTACAGTCTACAGATCTTTCTGAAGAAGGGTGATGATGACGCATCAGAAGTAACTTTCACAAGTAACAGAAGCATAGCCATCCATAGAGAAAGGCCCATTTTAGAAGTAAAAAGAGATACGTTCTTTACAAGTAAAAAAGGCTTACTTACAGGTAAAAGAATGGCCCAGGCGGACTAGACTTATTGTGCTTTCTTTATAATTTTAATTTTGATTGGTATTCATGTTTACAGCACATAATGATTCCACGTAATGGTAACACTCATCACGGGGAGTTGGTGTATGTATATAACACATCTTTGTTCTTTTTGCTTTTGTTTTTCTCTCCCTTAAACCCTCCCTCCATCTCTTGGTCCCCTTCTCAAAATTTTGCTTCTTATTTTTACCTCGGATTTCTTAGGTAATACTTAAGCTTATGTGTATGATTTACCTCACTTCACATTATCTTCTTATGATACATCCATTTTCTTGTGACTCAAATTTATCCCTCTATATTGCAGAGTATTACTCTATTGTGTATAAAGGCTAAAGCTTTCCATAGATGTACAGGCCATTTCCAAGATTTAACTATTATGAGTTGTTTTAGCTACTGTTACGTGCTGCTCTAAACATGGGTTAAGAATATAATATAGTATCTTTAACTCTTTCAGAAAGATATACTTAGAAGGGGAATAGCTAAATCAAATTAATTTCTAGTTTGCTTTTTTTGAGGAATTTCCATACTGATTTCCACAGTGGTTTTACTAGTTTACATTTCTCTCAACCGTGTGGAAGGGTTCTTTTTTTCTTGCAGCCTCTAGCATTTGTTGTTATTTGATTTCTTGGTCATAGCCATTTTTTCTAGAATAAGATGGCTTTACAGTTCATTTTAAATTGCATTTTCTAATGGCTAGAGGTGATGAACATTTCCATGTTTATTGGCCATTTATACTTTTTCTAAGAAGTATCTATTCACTTCAGTGGTCCCATTTTTTGATGAGAGGGGTCTAATTTTTTGAATTCTTAATGTGTCAGGACATTAGTCCTGTGTCTCAGGAGTATCTTGCAAAACTTTTTTCCCATTCTGTGGGTTGTCTCTTTACTCTGTTGATGTTTCATTTGCTGTGCAGAAGCTTTTTACTTTGATATAATCCCATTTGTTGGATGTTGATGTTTCTTAAGCGATTAGTGTTCTGTTCAAGAAGTTCTTGCTTCTCTTTAACTTCAAGAGTTTTACCTGTTTTTATCTTCCAACAGATTAAAAGTTTCTGCTTTAATATGTAGATATTAGTTGCATTTTGATTTTAATTTAGTACATGTTGAGAGACATGGGCCTGGCTTCAATCTCCTACATGTGGATGGCCAGTTTTCCCAGCAGCATTTGTTAAAGGGGCCATCTGTCCTCCAGGGTAAAGTCTTGGCTCCTCTGTCTAAGGGGCCTGAAATGGCTGAATGTGCCTGGAATTATTTCTGCAACCTTTGTTCTGTTTTGTTGATCCACTTACCTATTTTTGTGCCAGTACCATGCTGTTGTTAATCGCTGTAGTTTTGTAATATAATTTAAAGTCTAGGATTGTAGTTCTTGCTGCTTTGCTCTTGTTTCTCAGGATTGCTCTTGCTATTCTGGGTTTTTTGTTCCCTGTGAATTTTGGTTTTTTTTATATCGTTCTATGAGGACTGTTGTTGGTATTTTTATTGAGATTGAATTAAATCTGTATATCAGTGTTGAAATCATGGCTATTGACAATATTGGTTCTGCCTATCCAGAAACAAAATCTCTTTCCATTTTCTGCTGTCTCCATTTGATGTCCTGTTTTAGAATTCTGTGGTTTTCATTGTAGAGATCTTTCACTTCCTTAGTTAGGTTAATTCCTTTGTATTTATTAATTCTTCTTGATGTTATTGAGGGATGGTATTGTTTTCCTGATTCATTTCCCTAGTGAATTCATTGATTCTTGTCCTGCTACATTACTAAATTTGGTTAATTCTCAAAGTCCTTTGGTGGAAATTTGAGGTCTTTTGTGTAAAGGATCATAACATCTGCAAATGATGGTAACTTAATTTCTTTTTATATTTATCCCTTTTATGTCTTTCTCTTCTTGATGGCTCTGACTAAAGTTTCAAAACACTGTATTGAAGAAGAATGGTGATAGTGAACATCCTTTTTGTGATTTTAGTGGTAAATCTTTCAGTTTTTCCCACTTTAGTTAATTGATATTGGCAATAGTTTGCATAAATGGCTTTTATCAGTGTGACATAAGGGTCTTCTATATCTGTGAAAGTTTTCATTGTGAATCAATTTTTCATGAGTGAACGTTGGGCTTTGTCAGTGCCTTTTTCTGCAGCTGCAGAGCTTGGAATTGTAAGTCATTGTAGATCATCCTTGGTTGGTAATTAAGATGATTTCACAAACTAATAAAGAGCGAGAAGTAGAAAAATGAATAGGAGACCCCTTTGAAGAATCTGAAAAATCTGTTTTTATACTTCAACTTAGAAGAAGCAAATTTTAGTAAATTGTAGATGTTTTTCCAAGTTTTAAATACATTTATATCATGCATATTTCGTACAAAAGTATAAATTCCAAATTTTAAAAATTACATTTTTTGTTCTCCATTTTAAAAAATGGTATATCAAACCTCCTAATTTCTTGAGACTGAAGAGGTTCTGCCACCCTTAACTTGAAAAAATAAATATATAAATTTAGGGAGTAGGTTCTAATAAAACAGGTAAAATCGTTTCCTTATTTGTCCCCCTGTGTACTGGCTTGAATGTTTGGAAGGTTTTCTAAATATGTGTATGTGGCACTGCTTCTCTCTTTATTTTTGTCCTGACAGCATGCTACTTCAAAAATGGATTGTAATAATTGAAATTTTCTCTTATTAGGCTGTTTATATCACTGAAAAAGAGGTTTTCAGCTTCAGAATGATTTCTTACATGGATGCAACTGCTGGTTCTGCGTACACAGACATGAGTGTGGTAGACCTTCAGATTAATTTAACTGTTGGTTGTATCGAAGTAGTTTTTCTCACAAAATTTCTATATTCTATATTGGTAAGTATATAATACTTTAATTCTAACTTAGAAGCCTAATTTATTTATTTATTTCGTAGTGGGGATTGCACTCAAACAACCTTGCGTTTGCCAAGTAGGCACTTAAGCTGCTGAGCTGAAGCCCCACCCCTAGAAGCCTAATTTAAAACTACCACACATAATTGAAATACGCTTTAATCTTAAGCAAAATAAGAAACATGTTTTCTTTTTTCTTATAGTTCTGTGCATATTGGATACTAAAAGCAGTTAAAGTAATCCTTATCTGATTCAATCCTAAGGTTTTTAATTCTTAGTTTTGCTTTCCTATTTTTTCCCCATTTTATCCTTGCTGTCAGCGCTTATTTTTCTCCTGAATATCATTTGTATCTCTATGAAATCATTCTTGTTTTAGACTGCATTCTGTGTTTCGGTGTTCAAACCAGATAATCAAATCTAAGGATGTAATGGACTAAGTAGGTGAAACATGGCAACTTAAAAGCAAAGAGGAAATTCATGTATTTATATGAATAGTTTTGGAGCTGTGGAACGCTCTTGTGTTAATTCAGAATTTTGAGTATTTTTGTTTTGTGATGTTTTAAATTGCAATTTTTCTTTAACCATAAAAATCTTTGTTTAAAAGACAGTGAGGATAAGTAATCTTTGTCTAATTTACTTTTATTAGTCAAAAAATTAGGTCACTAAGATCTCTTGTGATAAACGTCTGCTTAAATATCACTGAAAATAAAATATTACTTTTCCTATGAAGATAAAAATTAAATATAAATCTAGAAAACTTGGAGATTATAAAATTTATTTGAGAGTTCTTGAAATCTTCTAAAAAAAATCTTACCAAAACAGTAGGCTATCAACTGAGGGTTTCTGTGAAAATAAGGTTGTTTAAGCTGTTAGGGCAAATTGAACAAGAAGTGAAATAACCAGTGAAACAACCCACTGTTCTGGGGGCTAGGTTTCTGGTTTATCAATATTTTTGTATTTTTTCATTTTTCCTAGCAGAAAATTAATGTAGATAATTATGTCTTGGATAAAGCTTGGTTTTATCAAGTGCAGTTTTTTTCGTATGGAAGTAAAATTACTAGGAACCTTTGTGTGATACATCATACTCAGAATCTTAGAAGTCTAACAGCAGAACATACTCTTAAAAGCTGTTAAAGAAAAGCACACAGGAAACTCATTAGAATTGCAGCTAAATTCTCAACACAAACCTTAAAAGCCAGAAAGTAAAATTATGTAAATTATATATGTAATAAGACCACTAATGGTAACGTTAAGAATATAATTTTGTGATCTTTATAGGCTTTTATAGATAATTTTCAAGCAGCTAAAGAAGCTTTGGCTGAAGCAACTGTTCAGGCAGCAGAAATGGCTGCTACTGGTGTAAAAGAACTGGCACAAAGGAGTTTAAGATTAGCACTGGACGTTAAGATAAACGCCCCAGTGGTAATCATCCCACAGTCGCCAGATTCAACAAATATTTTTGTAGCTGATTTTGGATTAATTACAATGACCAATAAATTCATTATGGTGACAGAGAGCCAGAGCAATCCTCCACCTGTTATTGACCTCATAACAATCAAGCTGAGTGAAATGAGACTTTACAGGTAAGCCTTTCTATGTGTTAGTATGCGGTCTTTTTTCTTAGTTTTTAATATTGAAAGCTTCAATATCTTGAGTATTTTATTCTATAGAACAGTTTTATTATATAGAGTTTTATTATAATTATACTTGGTTTTGTGATTGTCCCTCCCAAACGCATTTTTTTTAGCAAAATTACTTGTAACTTTACTCTTTAAAAACCAGCAAATATTTAGAAATTGCTTCATAAGTAATTAAGGAAACTAAACTTTATTACTGAAGAAGTGCATTTGTGCTTTTTTAAAATATATTTATACACTTTTTGGGTAGTTATAAATTTTAAGTGTAGAAGGAATGGATTGTAGCTTGTTTATTCACTTTGTAAACACAGTAACACCCAAACTAATCAATCAGCTCTATGTTTAAGGAACTGATACTTTAAGCAAATAAACAGTGGAGTATGATCTTAATAATCTTTTGACAAAGGATTAGGAAGTCAGTGAACAAAGAAGTATCCCAATAGTTCCAGGGCATTTATATAGTGTGTTCAGTGTTTCAGTGCTGTTTCTAGTTACCTGTTTTTTCCCATCTTGGATTCATCATTTTTTATTGTTCTAACTTAACCAATGTCTTTCTTCCTGTCAATTTCTTTTGTTTTATTTTATTTATCTCTTCATTTTTTTCTTTCCCTAAGTTTTGCTTCTCTTTGGCCTCTGGCTGAGCTCTTTCTTGTCCCTGTCCTTCATTTTATCAAGTGAATATTTTTGAAGCAGTTTTGAGAAATAGTTCACATACAGTAAATTATTTGTCTTTAAAGTATGTCATTTGCTAGGGTATATTGGTTTATGAGTAGTTGTATTATATCTTCGGTAACTATTAAGTTAGAGTTCACCAGTAAAGCTATCTGAGGCTGAAGTTTTTTTATGGGAAGTTTTTAAACTACAGTTTCCCTTTTTGTAACAACTTTCAAATTTTTGACTGATTTGTGATATTTTTCAATGACTTCGTTTATTTAGGTTGTAGAACTTAATGGCATAAAATTGTTCATACTGTCCCTTCTTAGTCATTTTTAACTGTAAGGTTCTCTCCTCTTCTACTTATTACCAATATCAGTTGCTTATGCCTTTTAACCGATACGCCTGGTTAGAATTTACTGGTCTTAAGTAACCTGCTTATAATTTTACTGTTTTCTCTATTTTCTGGTTTTTCTTTCATTAATTTCATATTTATTACTTTAGGTTTAGGTTGCTAAGTTTCTTTAGATGGTGACTCATTATTAATTTGAAATATTTATTTTCTGATATAAGCTACAGTGCTATAAATTTTCCTTGTAATTGCCTTTTCTCTGACATTTGAACATTAGCTGACTTGGTCTTCTTGGACTCTCAGCACTATTTTCTTGCGTCAGGGAGTTTCCTGACCTTCTGGATTCCTCTTCCATGTGCTAATGTCTGTAAATTATCTCAAAACAGTAGTAAATTGAAGCATTCGGAGGCACACTTTTTTTTTTTTTAACTAAGCACCGAATGTGTCTCAGGACTGTGGTAGGAACAAGTATGATAGTGTGCTATCTTTATAAGCAATTAATAAGTAGTACCTACTTCATTAAGTTGTTATAGTGTGTGCTATTTAATGAGCTATTGTGTGAAAACATAGATCATTGGATTTTAGAAAGGTATGAAAAAATAGGTCAAAAGAAGACAAAACTGTGGGTTAGGAGAATAGTTTGGTAACTATTGTAGTAATTCATTCAAGAATTACAGATGAGTTAGTCTGAGGTAGAGGAATGAGGTAATGGTAGTTTAACAATTACAAGAAATTTTAAAATTACAGTCAATAGCAACTGGTTATTGAATGTGGAAATTAAGAGAGAGGAGAAATCAGAATTCATCCAAGGCCACAAGTATAGAAAACACAGTAACTGATGATAGTTCAGTTCCTTCACATAAGACAACAATTTAGAAAAATGATATGGGATCTTAGTGATCTCACTGAGGGGAAGGTAGTTTGGAATGTAGTTCTTAGACTTTCATACGGAGAGATCTAGAATGTAATTCAACATATTTTCTGAATATTAAGAAAGTGATCTTGCTTAGATTTCTAAATTTGAGAGACTTGTAATACTTAGTTTTTAAACCATTGGAATGGAAAAATCACAGAGATTGTAGAGTGGGATGTGTGGAGAGGAGTGTTGAGTAACACCAGTATTTAAGGGAAAGGACCTTTAAAAGAGACTAAGAAAGAGCAAGCAGAAACCAGAATGTATTCCAGGTAGCGTTGAGGGTCTTGTGCTTGTTAACCGTGAGTTAACTGTATTTGATTATATTTTAATGCTATGATTCATAATTTGCATTGAAAATTCAACAGCTAGTTGGAATCAAGTAAGGCTAAATTTTTGACAAGCAGGCGTGACCAGGGAAAAGGAAAAGCTTTTAAATATTGAGAATCATATTGATGTATAATGGAGATGAAAGAAATTAAAAGGCAGGAGGCTATTGGTAGCATAAAAGAATATAGTGAGGCCTTTATATACTGGAGATACAATAATCTCACTCTTAAAAATAAGCACTAACCAGTTAAATGTGGTAAACCTAGGTGTTACTATTCTTAAAGGAAATGAAGACAATATTTTTGTTTTACCTCGAGATAGAGTATTGGAGAAAAATTGACCTGTTTTCAGAACTTCTTAGCCAGATTTTAGTTGATATAAGAAATGAACAATATATTTAATAAAGGCATTGGAAAATGTAGAATGATTTTTAAATTGAGTTATTTCAGAAATGATGAGATTGAGGTGAGAGACTTCTGCTTTAATAATAGGCTATAAATATACAGCAGTAACTTTTTAAAGCTGTAAGCATTAGATAACCTTGGAAGTTCCAACTTTGTAAAAAGTCCAAATTTACTAAAATTACAGTATTTGTGTATCTTCTTTAATCACATCTTGACTTACAAAAATATATGTAAATTAGATGAAAGTTTGTATTAAAAGCAAACTACTTTGATAAAAGAAGTACAATAGTGAAGACTAATCTTTAGAGATTGTCATTTGAAGGTACAAAAGAAGGCTTTTATGGTTCCATAGTCCTAGAAGGTGTCTGTGACCTACTGCTCTTGTCTTTACCACTGGGCGTCAGTCTTGTCTAAGTGCTTGGAAGGTCCACACAAGGTCCACTTAATGTGAAATTGTTCATAACCAGCTATTATTTGAATCCATGGGAATAGAAAACTTTAAGGTACAGTTCTGTTTTCTGTGAAGGGAATATATGTACTACATCTTTAAATGAGCAATTTAAAAATTTTTATAGTAAAGTGTTACATAATTTTTTTAACTGACTAGTGATAATTCTTAATTTTCTAATCAATTTTTATATTTTTGGCATTTTTTATCGTATTTTAAAATCCTGTTTTTAAAAGTTAAACATTGCAGCTTAGAGAAAATCAACTTGGTTTCTAGTAGGATGGACCTTTTTTCATTTTGATATGCAGAAACCTGGTAAAGTTGATACACACACACAATCATTGATTTCTATTGTGCTATATAAAATGATAAATTGATCTTTTTTCTTATCTGAATGTGTATAGAACCACCCGTAACAACTTTATTTCTCCTTACAGGTCTCAGTTTATTAATGAGGAGTACCAAGAAGTACTGGATCTACTACTGCCATTAAATCTTGAAGTGGTTGTTGAGCGAAATCTATCCTGGGATTGGTACCAGGAAGTTCCTTGTTTTAATGTAAATGCTCAGTTAAAACCCATGGAGGTAACTTGATAGCTGCTTATTGGTTTCTGTCTTGTTCTTGTAACACACTACTTTGGAACATTAAAAATTTGGGGTGAATAGTCCAGGTATTATCAGCTTGGTCATAATTGAAACAGCATCTTATTAACAGACATGTTAAGTTACCAGACATGAAAGCTTTCATATTTAATTGTAAAACTCAGGCTTGGATTCATTTAGTGTTCTCCATTCTTTGGTGACTCAGGCCTGTGGGATGGTTGGGGGTCTGCCCCCAGCCTATCCTGACAGGAAGGAGCCACAGGGAGCAGTCTAGGGTCCTTCCAGCTTCTTCTAGTACTGCTGACAGGAGTGAAGGGTGGTGATTAGTCTGTGTCGGAGAGACATACAGTACTATTTAGACACATGTACTAACTGGGTTTGTGCAGAAGTTTTAATAGGATTTATGTATATGAATATTTTCACAGTGGCTGTTACATAATAGTCACAAACTAAATGTCATGAATAAAAGCATGGATGAAAGTCAAAAAAATAAGCAGTGTGAATAAGATACGCATTCTCTTCATCTTAAAAACTAGATTAGTGAAAAACTAGCATATCATCTTTGAAATTCAGTTGAAGGTATCCTGGTACCAATATTAGTGTTACATTTTTTGAGAATAAAATTATTCCTTTGGGTTATAACAATGAGAATAGTTTTCACAAACCTAGCAGAAATAATTTTAAAAAGTGTCCTGATTAAGTGTACATCAGTAAATTGTTTTTTATAGTTACCATTGTATTATATCATTGTTTTCCAGAGAAACAGAAACAACACCGAGGGTATGTGTGTGAGTGGTAGGGTTTTATTTTAAGAAGTTGGTGCCTATGATTGTGGAGGCGGGCAAGTTCAAAGTGGCAAGGTGGGCCAGTAGAATATCGTAAAGGAAAGGGTTGACCTTGCAGTAATCTGAGGGTACTCTGTCAGGAGAATTCTTGCTTGAAGTAGTTTGCTCTTTTTTTCCAGTGAATGTCTTCAACTCCCTGATTGAGGCTCACCCACATTGTGGTAATGTGATTCACTAAGAAGTCTAATCACTTAAATGTTTCTCTTTCCTAATGACATATCTTCATAGAGACACTTAGGATGATGTTTGACAAAATAGCTATTGTGACCAAGCCAAGCTGAAACATACAATAGAAGAGCCATGTGTGGTGGTGCACACCGGTAATCCTAGCACTCAGGAGGCTGAGGCAGGAGGATCTTTGCAAGTTTGAGACCAACCTGGGCTTCAAAATGAACTCAAAGCTAGCCTGAACTGCATAGCAAGATCTTGTTTTAAGAAGAAAAATTAAAAAATGAAAATAAAAAACACAAGTTTTGAAGTTAGTTAGCTCTTTGAGTTCTTCTAAGTGCATATGAACTAAAATTTTTTGTTCTTGTTTTTATACCAGATAATGAACTCATGACCTCATGCTTGCAAAAGGCAGGTGCTTATGCCACTGAGCTAAATCCCTGGCTGAAGTGAAATTTTGTAATTTAGCTCCAGCTTTTTTTTTGAGACAAGGTTTCACTATGCAGTTCGGACTGCCTTTAAACTCACTGTGTAGCTCAAGCTGGTTTCAAACTTACAACAATCCTCCTGCCTCAGCCTCCGTAGTGTTGTGATTACAGGTGTGCGCCACCATATCTGGTTGCTTCAGCTTTTAAACCCAGGATCATAGTCTGTATACCTAGCACATAGTCTGTGGCTCAAATAAAAATGATCACGTAATACATACATTAAATGTTTTTCATTATCCAAATGGGATATATTGTTTTGATTATTCATAAGACGTATGTACTGACCAGAAATGTGAGGTAGCTTGATGGCTGCAGTTTAAAATTCATTTCAAATGTTAACATTTTTGATTTGATGCATTCATAACTACTAGTGTCATCGATTTAGGTGTCTAATTTATTTCTTATTTCATAAACTACTAAAGATCACATCGTCGTTTGGAAAATGGTATTTCTTCAGTGCTTTTAAAAGTTGATTTTGTAGATGGCCGAAGTAAACAGTCATGTTTTTAGATTTTAAGTACAGCAGATAGAAATGTTAAGAACCAAATCCACTGTGCGTATGTTTCTTTTCTGAAATCCTGTTTTTTAACAGTTCATCCTTAGTCAAGAAGATTTAACAACTATTTTTAAAACTTTGTATGGAAATCTGTGGTACGAACCAGGTGTTAGTGCCTCACCTGCCATAACTAAAGACCAAAGCAGCGGTGCCAGTGTGGTCACTAACGCGTCACCCCAGTCAGCAGGTATGTTTCTAACGCTAAATTAGTTTCACGTTCTGTTTTTTTGCTCCTCTTTCTCCAGGTTGCGCCCTCCCCTTTTTCTTCTCCTACCCTTCTCTCTTCTCATCCTCTTTTTTTGTCTCTTCTGCCCTCTGTCTTCCTTCCCCATCTTTGTTTTGTTCCTTCCTTTCTCTATTTTGGTAAAATAGAGTTCACAAGTCTCTTCCTAATCAGCTAACCCCACTTAAGCATTTCTGGATTACCTATGTTATTAGGCATTCCATTGATTTAATTTTATTTTCCTTTGAGTCAGAACTCTTTTTTTTAAATTTTTTTTTATTTAAGAGGAAAAAGAGAAAAACACAAAACAAAACAAAGCAGTGTAAGGTTACATATAATACAGAACTACAAAAAAAAAGATAACAGTAAGAAATCACCTGTTAATAGATTACATATTATCATCTTGGAAATAGTTGCTCAAATCACAGTATCAAAGAATACAAAGTAGACATTCAAACAGGGAGACTACAAACAGCTGTGTTCAATGATCCAAAAACATTAATATAGTCAGCTATTCAACACCCCTATACACACTTGCTGTTATATCCGTTAGAGTTCTTTTTTTTTTCCCTTCCTCTTTTTTTACAACAAAATTTACACATTTTAGATTTTATTACTCCTTAGTTCTTGTTACTTTTTTTGGGGGGGGGAATAAAGTCAAATATGGCAGAACAAAGCTGTCAGTCAAAACCAAGGATAGACTTAGCACATGATGTAGAACAGAGTACACGGTTATTAACAATAGTTATCAACGTTGTCTCTTGTTTCCTTAAAAAGATTTGTCTATCTCATTAGATATTATAAAGTTGGACAAAACAGTAGAGAACAAGACCAATAAAACTTAGACATTGTAAACATTACAGGACTTCCAAAGGAGACAATAGTCAAACCTGAATGGGCATCTTAGTGAATCTTATTGCCTTCAAAGTAGTTGCCTATACCCTCAGACTTGATACTATCCCACAGAATGGAACAGAGTCTAATCAATCAAAACAAGATCGTGGGAGTATTACAGGACTTCAAAACAGGTTAATAGGAAATCGAAAAGAGTTACTATTATATATCCTAATTTTTTTAATTTTTCCCTTAATTAAAATAAACATAAGAAATAACTAATTTTTTTAAAGAATAATAGTTACCATAGTGTCTGTCTTTTTCCTTGAGATATTTGGATAAAACTTCATATACTATAGCTTCAAATATTTCCATATCAAGAAGCCCAGAATAAAGCCTTTCTAATTAATAAGTGAAAATTTTATAAGGCTTCAAGGCCACATAATGGGGAATCATGATTGCCACATATTTTCATATACTTGAATCATTACTTACATTAGGGAAACTTCGGTATTCATACATGCGAGATTGATTTATTTCACTTATGAGTATGGTCTCAAGCTGCGCCCATTTATTGATAAATATCTCAATGTAATCCTTCTTTATAGCTGAATAATACTCCATTGTATAGAAATACCACAACTTTTTTATCCATTCCTCAGTTGATGGACACTTGGGTTGTTTCCAAGATCTGGCGATTACAAATTGTGCTGCTATAAACATAGGTGCACATATATCACTGTGGTATGATGCTTTCATTTCTTCTGGGAATATGCCTAGAAGTGGAATAGCTGGAATAAATGGGATTTCCAGTCCCAACTTTTTGAGAAACCTCCAGACAGACCTCCACAAAGGCTGTACCAGTCTACACTCCCACCAACAGTGCAGGAGAGTTCCTTTTTCCCCACAGCCTCTCCAGCATTTGTTGTTGTTGGTTTTCTTGATCCTAGCCATTATTTCAGGAGTGAGATGGTATCTCAGTGTGGTTTTAATTTGCATTTCTCTGATGACCAATGATGATGAGCATGTTTTCATATATTTATTTGCCATTTGCATTTCTTCATGTAAGAATTGCGTATTCATCTCAGATGCCCATTTTTGGATTGGATCTTTGAATTTTGGAGGTCTGAGTTTTTTTAATTCTTTATATGTTTTAGACAAGAGTCCCTTGTCTGAGAGAGAGTTCACTAAAATCTTTTCCCAGTTTGTGGGTTTTCTTTTCACTATGCTGGAGATTTCTTTTGACATGCAGAAACTTTTTAATAAGAAGTGGTCCCAGTTATTGATTCTGGGAAGTATTTCCCGTGCGGTTTGAGTCCTGTTCATGAATTCTCTACCTACTCCTATGTCTCCAAGGTTTCTACCCACTTTGTCTTCCAGTAGATTTAGTGTTTCTGTTTTAATATTGAGATCTTTGACCCATTTAGATTTTAATTTAGTACATGGTGATAGACATGGGTCTAGCTTTAGTTTTTGGCAAATGGAGAGCCAGTTTTTCCAGCACCATTTATTAAAGAGACTGTCGTTCTTCCAGTGAACCTGCTTGGCTCCTTTATCAAAGATAAGGTGGTTGAGTGTGTTTGTAGTTGTGGTTGTATCTTCTAATCTATTCCATTGATCTTCGCCTCTGTTTTGATTCCAATACCATGTTGATTTTACTACTGTTGCTTTGTAGTATAATTTCAAGTCAGGGATTGTGATGCCTCCTGCTTTGCCTTTGCTGCTTAGAATTGCCTTTGCGATTCTAGGTCTCTTCTGGTTCCAGATGAAATTTAGGAGTGATTTCTCTAGATCTATAAGGTATGTTGATGGTATTTCTATTGGGATTGCATTGAATCTGTATAAGAATTTTGGGAGAATGGCCATCTTCACAATGTTTGTTCTTCCTATCCATGAGCAAGGGATGTCTTTCCATTTTCTGAGATCATCTTCAATTTCCTTTTTCAGTGTATTATAGTTTTCACTGTATAAGTCTTTCACTTCTTTCGTAAGAGTAATTCCTAAATATTTCATTTTTTTGCTTGCTAATGTGAATAATCCAGTTTCTCTTATTTCCCTCTCTGTGATTTTGTTGTTTGAGTATAGGAATGCTATTGATTTCTGAGTATTGATTTTGTATCCAGCCACATTACTGAATTTATTTATTGTATCTAAAGTCTTTCAATGGAGCTTAGGGGGTCTTCTATGTAGAGTATCATGTCGTCTGCAAACAATGACATCTTGACTTCTTCTTTTCCTATCTTTACCCCTTTTATTTCTCTTTCTTGCCTAATTGCTCTGGCTAGTACTTCCAGTACTATATTAAATAGGAGTGGTGATAAAGGACATCCTTGTCTTGTGCCTGATTTTAAAGTAAAGGCTTTCAATTTTTGGCCATTTAGTATGATGCTGGCTGTTGGTTTGTCATAAATGGCCTTTATTATATTGAGGTAAAGACCATCTATTCCAATTTTCTGTAGAGTTTTTATCATGAATAAATGTTGAACCTTATCGAAGGCTTTTTCTGCATCTATAGAAATGATCATGTGATTCTTATTTTTGGCTTTATTGATATGGTGGATTACATTTATTGATTTGCGTATGTTGAACCATCCTTGCATTCCTAGGATGAATCCCACTTGGTCATGGTGTATAATCTTCTTGATGATTTGCTGGATCCTATTTGCCAATATTTTATTGAGGATTTTTGCATCTGTGTTTATTAGGGAGATCGGTCTATAGTTCTCTTTTTTAATTGGGTCTTTCTCAGGTTTTGGTACTAGAGTAATATTTGCTTCCAGGAATGACTTAGGAAGGATTGCTTCCCTTTCAATTTCATTGAATAGTTTGAGGAGTGTCGGCATTAGGTCTTCTTTGTATTTCTTGTAGAATTCTGCAGTGAATCCATCTGGGCCTGGGCTCTTCTTGGTGGGTAAGGACTTAATTACATTTTCAATTTCATTAACAGAGATTGGGTTATTCAACAGTTTTACATCCTCTTGATCTAGCTTTGGCACTTCATATGCTTCTAAGAATCTGTCTATGTCTTCTGTGTTACCAAACTTTTGAGAGTAGAGGTTTTCGAAATAGGTGTTGATGATCTTCTGTATTTCTATTGGGTCTGTAGTGATTTCTCCTTTTTCATTTCTTATTGCATGAATTTGAGCTTTTTCTTCCCTTTTTTTAATAAGGTTGGCTAGGGGCTTATCGATTTTATTTATTCTTTCAAAGAACCAACTCTTTGATTTGTTGATTCTTTGGATTGTTTTCTTAGTCTCTATTGCATTGATTTCTGCTCTGATTTTTATAATTTCCTCTCTACTTTCGGCTTTGGGCTTGACTTGCTCTTCTTTTTCTAGCTGTTTGAGGTGTAGCATCAAGTTATTTATCTGTATTCGTTCTGTTTTCCTGATGTGGGAACTCAGTGCAATAAATTTTCCTCTCAGGATGGCTTTCATTGCATCCCACAGGTTCCGGTAAGTTGTATCTGTATTTTCATTTTCTTTTAGGTATTGTTTGATTTCTTCTTTAATTTCTTCTGTGACCCACTGATTACTCAAGAGTGTGTTATTCAGTTTCCATGTGTTTGTGGGATTTTTGCAGTATCTTTTATCATTAATTTCTAATTTCAGAGCGCTATGATCCGATAACATGCAAGGGATGGTTTCAGCTCTTTTGTACTTGTTTAAATATGTTCTGCGAGCTAATATATGGTCTATTTTAGAAAATGATCCATGTACTGCTGAGAAGAATGTGTATTCTGATGTTGTTGGGTGGAACATCCTGTATATGTCTATCAAACCCATTTGTTCACAGGCATGATTCAGTTCTGTTATTTCTTTGCTCATTTTCTGTCTGGTTGATCTGTCCCTTGGTGTCAATGGCGTATTAAGGTCTCCTGTTACAATTGTGTTACTGATAATTTGAGTTTTCATTTCTGTTAATAATTGTTTTATATAACTTGGTGCTCTGGAGTTTGGTGCGTATATATTTAAGATAGTTATCTCTTCCTCTTGGAGTTTTCCCCTTACGAGTATGTAGTGACCTTCTTTGTCCTTTATGGTCATTGTTGGTTTAAAGTTCACGTCTGCAAACAGAATGGCTACTCCTGCCTTTTTTTGGATTCCTGCTGCATGAAGAATTGTTTTCCA